TTTTTAAAATTAATTTACCTATATTTACTTTTTTGTGTATTTAATTTACTTTGTGTATTTTCTTTAGAAAATCGAAAAATTGTAGTCACTAAAAATTATTTAAAATTCTGAAAATTTTTTGTCATTATTTTGCTGTTGTTTTTCTCGTATATCTGTAGGTTTTTTGAATTGGTACCTTTTTAGAATTTCTCTAATTCTCTCTATTTTATGTGCTATTTTCTCGAAAATAAATTATCTTGTTCTATCCAGTTTGACGCAGGATTTAATCAACCACTTGCTTTTTTGGATAATTTTTGGAACACATTGCTCAGCTGTTTTAGTTATCTTTAGTGGATGATTAGAATTAAAGTTAAGCTTAGTTCTATTTAGTTTTCTTAATTTAGTTAACCATAAAAATTTAATAATATGTGGACATTGAAATCTTTGGCATCAAAACGACTACCCAAGAGTGTACTTTAAAACGGTAACATTAAAGATCGAAGCCATTCCTTTCATTTTTGTTCCTTTTTGCTTCAGGTTCGAGAGAAGATTTTAGTTGTTTTTTTATCATTTTTTTTAAAAAAAGCTCCTTTATTAACCTTGAGGTATTTTAAATTTTATTATCTTTTGAAGTATCTTTTGTTTATAAAATTTTTACATTTCTTCTATTCACAGATTTAGTTTTTATACATGCGGAGAAGCATACTTTTTTAATCACTGGAATTGTTGAGCGCTAGTGCCAACATTCCCAATTCCTGCCTCTTCAAAACGAGGAATTTTGCAAATACTCGTAAATGGCATACTATTCGCCAGCCAGTAACAAATCATTTCCGCCCCAAAATTTGGCAGCATCTTCGTCCTCAATTAGTGCGAGTAATTCACCTGGTCGGCAGAGATTGCCAGTTGTGGTTAAGGAGAAATCGCCGCAGAAAAAAACGCCGACAAGGAGTAGAGGACAAGCTCAACGCAGGGTTGCAGCACTATCTCCAGGCGATGCTTCAAGTTCAGAAGCTTTGGCGAGCACAATCGCGTAAATTTTTAGTTTTTTCTTTAAATTAAATTAATAATTTGTTTTTTTTTTCACAGTTCGGTAGCATCTGGTGGGGGTAGTCTCGAAGAATTTGAAAAATTCTCTGCCGCAACATCATTAGGATCCTCATCAAATTCTTCTCCCTCTTCACTCTACACTAATTCATTAAATGTTCATCCCGGTCCTTCAACTTTTTCTGAACAACTGTCAGCACCACAAAACATAATACAACCGCCATCTTCATCCAAACGTCGGAAGAATTGTAGTAGCTCTTCTGCTTTAAACTCAACTCAGAGCAATCAAAAGATAAATCAGTTGTTATTGTCAGGTTTGTTGATTCTGAAAATTAGTTTTATTATGTTTATTTAAGGGTTTTCAGATTCACCTAATGCGTCATTGGGAACACTGGTGGAGAGAAATAAAAGGATGGGTCCTCTTTCGGCCTCACAATATCAGCACATTCAAGAGGTTATTATAACAAGTTACAAATTAAATATGTAAACTTCAATTTAGGTACAACAACAGCAATGTAGAATTCATGTTCAAAATCCTCCCCAAACTCATGGAGACTTCCCTGTGACCGGAACTAAAATACAGGTTGTTCATATGCAACCAAGTCCTGCCGCTGCTGCTTCTTTATTAACTGGAGCTTGTGAATCGCCTCAACAGGTTTATCATTTTGTAATAGAGATCGAGCTGGGTTTGGACCAAGGCCTGAGTTTTTTATGTCCAGAGTTCAGGCCTAGGCATTTTCTGACCTTCCTGGTTTTTTGCTGGGCCTGGGTTTTTCCCGGACTACAGGCCCAGGTCAATAAATCAAACTCAGGAACAGGCTTTTCAAAAATCTCGATCTCTTTGTACAGCTAGAATGTATTTCTGTTGTAATAATATTCAAAAGAATAAGTAAATTCATTCATATTCTTGCAGCCACAATGTTCTCATCAACAGCAGCATTATTTAGGTATTGGCTCTATGCTACCTCCACCTCGGTCTCAACAAAACGAATTGATGATTTCTAATCACTATCAACCTAATCAACATCCACCTCATCATCATTCATTGCCTTCAACTCCGTTCTCGTCAACAGGATTGGATTTTTGTGGTAGTAATGTTGGTGGATCTGGTGGTCATTAATTAATAATTTAGTCTATGTTTATATATGTTAACTTTTAGGAGTACTTTCTGCTGAAATGATGCTGTCATCTTCTGCTGCTGCTACACCGTCACCAGCAGGCACAATAGCTTCTTCGCCGGCCGCTTCAGTAATGCCTCCAGCTTCTGGTGGTTGTATTGGAGGACCATCGTCAGTTCATGGCATTCAAAAAATGCAACAAAAGCATAGAACGTCTTTTCAGGTTTTGGTTTCCGTATATTTTTTAATCCAAGAATATTCAAGCATCAAAAACCAATTCTTGATAATGGCGGTGGACCTATGAGTGTTGGTTGCAATAGTAGTTATTCTTATCCACCTCCGTCACCTCATTGGGTGTCACAACAACAGTCATATTCATCTGCCATGTCTGCACAGGCTAGCCCACAACCGCCACAAAGTATTCTACAAAGAAAAATAGAAGACAGCGGTGGTAGTGTTGGAAGCAGCTATGTTCCCTCATCGATGCCAGCCGCTTCACCTTACAGTCAACAACAGCAAATGCGTCAAAATCATCTTCAACAATACTCACCAATGAGTGTTCCAATACATTCTGGTGAAGCTTCTGCTGTTCCATCTCCACAAATGTCGCATCGTTTTCATCAAAATACTCCTCAACAACACCTTCAATCTTCACCGCCGCAAATTTTGGGTGGAGGCCCTCACCTACAACATCAAACACAAAGTGCAGGTCTTCAGCCACAACCTCTTGTAGGAGGCCAAAATCTTAACCAGCAAGCATTATTTGCTACCCAACAAACGTCATTGCCAGGACAGCAACAACTTCAACCTATTTACCATAAAAAGCTACAAGGCAGAATTCAATATCATAATCAAACTCACCAACAACCACAACAACTACCTCTACATTACCTCCAAACTCCACCCCACCAACAATTACTCTCTCAACAACAAAATTATCATCATACATCACCTATAGAACGGCCTACGGCCCCTCTTCCTACTCAACAAAATATGCACCCACCTCCTTCACCGATGGTATATTTTTGTTAATTTAAATCCTAAATATTGATAAGTTAATTTATATAAACCTCTGCAAACTTTTTTTGAATACTTATTTCCTACTAACTCCATTTCAAGACCCATATAGGGTGCAAGATTTTAATTAATATTTTAATTTTACATTTCCATACATTTTTAGTTCTCTTCCATGAAACAACAGCAGCATAATGCGAACATTGGTAATCATCATGTTTCAAATATCCCTCAGAATCAAAGCATTTATTTGTCTCAACAGCAACAACCTCCACAGACTTATTTAAAGCAACAACAACAAATTATTCATAATCAAGCGTTTCAACAACAGCCTCTTGTTCTATCACCTCCTCCTCCACCTTATATTGCTAATGCATATCCATCGCAACAACCGCCTCCGCAACCAATGAGAATGTTTCCAGCAGCTGCTTCAACACCATTTGTTTGTCCTCTAACTCCAACAGGTCAAATGAATATTGCTGGATGTTCTCCATCAACGCAGATGTTGCCACCGATGCCACAACCAGCTCGGGCACAACTCAGTCGTGCACATTTATTAACGCGACATTCGCGAGAGTTGAAATGCCACAAATATGCTATTAAGCTCTACCATCTTCAAAGGACAACAAAAGCACTTGTTTATGTTTGTATTTATAATATTTTTAAATTAAATTAGTAGTTCTTAATTTAACATAAATTTTAATTAAATGTTTAAAAACAAATTTAATTTAAAGAAAAATGGTGCTTTGGCCGACGAACTTACTCGATTACAACAGCAAATTCAGACAGTCACTGAGGAAAGAAGGTTATATTCTTTTTTAACTTTTTCCTCAATTTTTAAAATTCTGCAAGTCAACTTTCTTTGAATAATTTTGGATTTTGTATATTTTAAAAGTATTTATTATCTTGAAATTTGACCTCTAAAGCTTTCTCTTTTTAATTTTGATTTTTTTCGTAATGACTTGATTCTAATTTAATTTTTTTGTTATATTTTATGTAAAGTATATACGTGTACCATTGGTGCTTTAGAGTGTATAAGAATCATTTTTTTATATTTTTTTAAATTTTAACTTTTCTAGGGTCCTAGCTAAACGTCTACAGCACCATGAACGGAATCGTATTCGTAGGCTACAAACACATTTTAAAAAAGCAGCTGCAGCAGCCTCGGCGGCTGCTGAGGCGGCAGAAAAGAAAAATGAGGAGGAGACAGGTGGAACAACAACATCAACAACAAATTGTAAAAAATTAGTAATTTGTACTTTATTAAATAGTAGTAAACAAAAAAAGCACTCTGCACAATTAAATTGTAAAGAATCGCACACAGACAAAGTCAGCTTATGATGATCCTCAGACTTCTCTTTTTTTCTCTCTCTCTATTTTCATCCCCCTTATCCAGGTTCTCATCAATTTTGATGATTTTATAAATATTTTGTTTTTTTTTTTTGTATTTTCCGAATGTTTGTAATTTTTCTTTTCTTAATTGCATGGATAAAGATGGGCTAGAAGAATATTTTTAAATTTATTCGGAGTTTTTAGGTAAAATATAAGGGTGGAATACGTTAATATTTTGAAATATTTTTAACAATTTGTCCACATAAGACGGGAAGGGATGCTAGTCTTCCACGGCGTAAGCTCCCATCGAGAAACGAAGTACAATTATCTGTTGTGCTTTTCAATAGTGCATCCCCATTCATAAATTTAAGTGTTCTCTTCTCCCAAATGTCTTGGTCTTTTAAAAAAATTTTCAAACTTCTCTGAGAACTCTTTATCAAAATCAAAACATTTAAATTTGCGAATAGATAACCACTACATTAAATATATTTTAATAAAATTTTAATTATAAAATTATGTAGGTATTAATGTTTTTGGTAATAATATATCTAAAATAGAAGTAAGAAATCTAATTCCAAATGGAAGTTCTTTTTCTTCTAAAAATTCTTCAATTTCATTTTCTAAATTACTTTTATAATTCCCTCCATCAAACAATAATTGATGGAGGAAATGCCAACAACGGAAAAAAGTTTGTTGAAGTGTTTGGGCAGCAATATTAGAATGACAACTAGCTAATAAACTTTAAAAAATATTTTAGTTAATTTTAAAAAAAATATTTCCAATTTTTACCCATTAACTAAAATATTTCCATTTGAAGTTAAAGGAGCATAAATTCCATTCTCTTCAATTTCATTTATTTTTATAATTTTAGTACTTGATAATCTCATCATTTCTTTTAATTGAATTAAAGAAGTAATATTTCTTTTATTTTTAACAGTATATAAACATTCCCCATTATTTAAATCTTTTGCTCTAATTAATCTTAAATTACTACAACCAGCCCAAACTAAATGAAATTCTGTAAGTTTTAATTGTTGCCCTTCTAAAGTTGTTATTATTTTGAATTTTGCTTTTTCATTTGGCAAACGATGTAAAAACATTAAAATTGGAGAATAAGCTACCTTTAAAAATAAAAAAAATTTTTTTTAATTAAAATTCGGTACTCTTGTGTTATCTCCCCCCATTTTATTTTTCTTGCCCTTTCATTTTTCTCAAAAAATTAAATTGATCAAATTGAATCGATGTATGTCGTGAGTTACCATGTTTTGAAATTAGAGAGATCCAATCCCAACGTTTGTGTACCAGTACTTTTATTTACAATACGTTAACTTTATTAACGGAATATTTTAGGAGAATAGAGTGCCCTATTCATCCAGGGTTACCATACACAAGTACAATAATGGACATTGGTCCTTAAAAACCAGAGCTGGGTAACTATCGCCATAATTCTTTAACAGCATGTTAATCACGAAGAAAGATAAAATGAGGGGAGATAACACAAGAGTACCAAAAATTCTAACCAAAGATTCATCAACAGATAAAACTAAATCTCCAATTTTCAATTCATCCATTCTTTTTTCTCCTTTTGGAGTATTTACTAATTGATCACCACTAAAACACTGTAATGTTGTAAAAGCTCCCCCAACACTCCCCCCTCCTCCCCCATTCTGGTAATATTGGTTATATTGCCCATATTGTTGTTGTCCATATTCTTTAAACCATTGATTATATTGTTGCTGATAATTTTGGTTATTATTAATTATTGTGTTAGTACATCCACATTCTTCCGGGCAATTACAAGTAGAAGGGCAAATTCCACAATTTGGACCGTTACACGGGTCAGGGAAACTGAAAATTGAAAAGAATTTTTGAAAAAATATTTAATTAACCTAGAACATTGACAAATACTACAAGAACACGATCCACAAATTAATTTTTCATTCTTTAAAAATAAAATTAATTTTTCAAAAAAAAATTATTTTTAAATACAAATTTATTTGTTGGAGAAGGTAAAATATTAACATTATTATTATCAATTACACAACCACCATTTTCTCCACCACAACCTTCTGTTGACTCTGATTGACAATTAGAAGAAGGGGAAGAACAATCACCAGCAGCAACATTTCCCCCTCCATCCAATAAAGAATTGGAAGAAATCTTTTTTAGAAGAAAATTATTTTTTAAAAAAGATTTAAAAAAAAACTTCTTGAGAAGGAAAATTTTGTGTTGGGAGTAAAGTAACATAATTATTTATATCACCTCCAATAAAAGGAATTTGTTGTTCATCTTCAGTAAACTAATAATTTTTTAAAATTATTTTTCTATCAAAAATATCCATTTACTTCCTCAACATCCTCCCCACCATCACCCAAACCATCTTCATTATCATTATTTTCGGGAATTATTGTTGTTTCTTCTATAGTTACAACAGCAGAAGCAACAATTGCCGGCTGTTTTTGTTTTTCTTTTAATTTATTATTTATTTCTAATTCTTCAATTTCTTTTTCAATTATTTTTTGAAATTCTTCTTCTTCTGGAGAAATTGTTGGGATTTTTGTTGTTGATGTTTCTTCTTCTTCAATTAATTTTGGAACTGGCAAATTTAAATTTTCTTTTAAAGAATTAATATCCGAATATTGGCGAGATTTTTGGGTAAAGATTTTGGGTAAATTTGAATAATTTAAAGTTTCGTTAATTGTCCAATAACTTTAAAAATAAAAAGAAATTTTGAGTAAAATATTTTGTGTAAAATTAAACTTTAAAAAAATTTATAAAAAAATCAAATTAATTTTGGAATTGACAGTGATGAAAGGATGTAAAAAGAAGGATCTAATTTAATATAAAAACAATCTAATAATTTAATTAATCAACCAAATACTAAATTTAAATAGCCAAATAAAGTTATGCCCTAAAACTAAGAAATTTAGCGGAAACAAATTAGAAACCATAACTTTTTAAAGACTTGGCTGATTTTGATTTTTTGTTTTAAAATAAGCCTTGGCTTAAATTTTTGAGGATTTTATATTTTTATTTAGATAACTTCAAAAGTCGGGTAGTCAACAAATATTTTAAAAAGCCTTACTCTCTCTCTAAATAATTCTTCTATTAATTACCCTCAACCTCCCCCCCTCCTCCTTTTCCTTTTTTTAAATTATTTTTAAATTAAATTTACCTATTTAAAATTCCTTTTTTTGTTTCATTTCCTTCTTCTTTTTTCTTCTTTCCAAATTTATTTAATCTACTATTTTTATTTAATTTATTTGAATGTAATTTTCTAATTTTTATATTTTTTTGATTTTCTTTTGAAGTCTAAAATATAAAATAAATAATTATTTTTAAATTTAAAAATAACCTCCTCTTCCTCTACTAATTTATTTTTTAATTTTTTAATTCTAGCCAAATGTCTCAAATAATAGGACAATAAAGGTTTACGTAAATAAATTGTTTGTTGTTGTTGTTGTTGCTGTTTTCGACGTTTTTCATTTAGTAAATATTTTTCTTTAATTAAATTATTTTTTAAATTTTTTTCTTCAAAATTTTCTTTTATTTTTTCGTTGTCTGGATGCCTATATATAAATTAATTTTAATAAAAAATTTTGAATAATAATTTTCTATTAAACAATTAAATAAAAATAATCTTCTTAAATATTGAGATTATGCTATTCTATTTATGTATTTTCAAAGTTTGTAAGAAATTTGAATTAATTACCGTATTTGCTCTATTAATCCCCCAGTCCTTTATTAATCCCCCAGGCTCTATTAATCCCCCACCCTGGAGATGGGTTGAAACAATAATCCCCCTGGGGGATTACTAGAGCAAATACGGTAAATATATTGAGATATTGGTAAAATTTTAGGTGTGCTTTTTTTGTAACATCTCCATTATTGAGGGTGTCGATTTAAAGAAATTTCACTTAAAAATTAAAAAAAACCTTTTAGCAGTTATGGAGGCAAGCATAAAAATATTTTTATTTGAAGGCTTTTCCTCATTAATTAAAGGTTTATTTGTTGTTGTTTTTAAATAAAAAAATCTTTTTTGGGGTTTTAAATATTTTTTGTTATTAAAAATTCCATTTCTTCCTTTAAATTTATAAAAATGTTTAGAAAAAGAATTTTTGATTTTTGTTGTTGTTGGTTGGTGTGTTGAAGGGCATAATGCTCGATAAATTGTTAATATATAAATTAAACTAAAAAAAATAAATTATTTTAATTTAATTAATTATTTATTTACTTATTTTCTTTAGTCACATTTTTATATATTTCTTTAACCAAATCAAAAGCTATCTAAAAAAATAAAGATTAATTTATTTAATAACAACTAACAATTTCCCCTCCTTTATTTACAACAGGCCCTCCTTCAAATTTTTCTCCTTTTTTGATAACAACTTTCTTTAAAGGCGCAGCCCATTGGGACAAATTTGGAATTAAACAACATTTTTGTTTTAAATTATTTCCCCCCTCTTCTTCTTCTTTAATTTCTCCAATCCATTCATTTGATTTATTACAAAAATAATTATTATTAATTATTAATTTATTATCATTACATTTCTAAATATTTAAATTTAATTTTAAGAAATTAAAAAATAAACAAACAATTTTATTATTTTCAACATTTCTTTCAAAATTTAAAAAAAGATTACAAACTGGTGGTTGACAATAAAGTTCTTAAAATTAGTTTTCTTATTATTAATTTATTTATAATTACAGCTTTAAGTCAAGAAAAAAAAGAAAAAGTCTTATAAGTTGACTTATATCTCAAAATTCAAAATAATACTTGAATCAAAACTTTTTCCCACTACTTTATTTGTTTTAAATCCCAAAACTTTATCCCCCCTCTCTTCCTTCTCTTTTTAAATTACCTGGATGTCCATATTCATCAATCTTTACAATTGAAGGAATATCTCCTAAAAGGCAATTATTTGTCTCCGAAGAAGTTGATTTTATTTGTAATATAAATTTATTAAAAATAATTATTTTTAAATAATTAATTAGTAAAAATAATTTCATTTTTTATTAAAAATAATTTAAAAAATAAATAAAAATAAATATACTAATTTTCTTTTTTAAATTTTCTCCGATTTCTTCATCCGGCAATGCCCCAAATCCCTTTCTTATATTCTCTCTCAACAATTAATTGAGCATTTTTTAAAGATTTTCCCTCAATTTTTTTTTTTGGAGAGAAAGTAAAAAATAAAAGAATATATAGACTGTTTTGTACTTTCTTTGACAAAACTTTGAAGTATTTGTTTGAAAGAAATATGTTGTAAAAAAGAAAGGAAGAAAAGGGGGATTATTAATTTTTAAATAAAAAAAAAATTTTGTTAAAAGTGTGGAAAGAAATTTTGATGATTTTGTTTTAATTCTAAGAAAATTTTAAAATCTCCGTTTGCTACACTAGAGAAGTTCCGGCATGGAATACTTTTTGACTTCATCAAGAGTGATTAAATTGAACCCTAAGATATTTTCTCATATACAAGAAGAACTTTTTAGAACCGATATTCACTACTTAATTGTTTGTGATCATTTTGTACTAAAGAAAATTTTAACATATTTATTGTTACATATATTTTATTAAAAATAATTAATTATTAATTTCAACACAAATATTTAATTTATCACTCAAAAATAATTAAAATAAATTAGCTCCAATATTTAATATAAAAATTTTAGACCATTGAATATTTGTTGGGAAAATTCTTGAATGGTAACGACAAACACGAATTACCTTTAAAAATAAAAATTTAATTTTAAATAATTTAGTTGAAGGGAGTATTTTATTCGAGGATTAGAACGGAAAAATATGTAGGGGTGTTTTTTAAATGGAAGGGGGGGGGGGGTAATTTTCAAAAAAAAAAATAAAAAATTTTCTGTAATATTTTTTAAAAATAAATTTCTAGCACGCCAGAAACATGTTTAGGGAGGGGGGGGGGGTCAAATTAATTTAAAATTAATTTACATTTTCAGCTTTTTCCAATAATTTTTTGTTTAATTTATTTTCCTTTTCAGAACTACAAATACGTATAAACATTGAATAAATTGTTGTTGTATTTGAAAGAATAAAAGAATTTAAAAGTAAACTTAAAAATTTAATTTTAAAATTAAACTCTCTCTACTAAAAAACCTGGCAATTTCCCCATTTTCAGCATAACACTGTAAAATCCTTCCCCCTTCATTCAACCCAAGTAAATACCCTAATGGCTGGTTATCTTCATTATTTATAGCCACAAATCCAGTAATTCCATTTAATTTAAACAAAAATTCCAAATAATCATCCCTCCCAAAAGAAGAAATATTTTGATCGTAAATAGAGAATAAAGTTTTTGTTTGAGAATTTAATGGAAGGATTGAAATTGTTGTTGAAGAATTGTTTTTAAATAAATTAATTAAATTCTCCCTTTTTTTAAATTAATTTTTAAAAATATTTTAAAGAAAAAAATTAAACTTTTTAATTTTTATTTCAAAATAACGAAAAGGATCAGTTACTATAAAACCAGCAGAATCTCTCCATAATTTAGTTGAATATTCTTTCATTCTAGAAATTAATTTTAAATAATTTATGACTAAGTAAATCTCTTTAGCTGTTCGAGACCGAAAATTCTCCAAGACCTAAGACGAAAAAATCTATGAAAAGTCTTGAGCCAAGACGCAAGATCAAAAGACTCGGACAGCTCAAGTAATTTCTCAGAAAATTTAAGGGGGAGGGGGAATGTGTGGAAAGAGGGGAGAGAAAAGATTTATTTATTATTTAACTTACCCCGAATCAGAATCATAAATATCAACAGACATATTTTTAGTTAATTCCATCTTTAAAAACAATTTTTTATTTAAATTCAAAATATTCAAAATATATCTACATTAAAAGTACTCCCAAAACATTGTTTAGCCAATTGTTCAACAATACATTGCAATAAAGGACGGGCTAAAGGTTCAGCAAATGCTGTAAAATATTGTGGAAGAGTACTTAAATCGGGCAAAACTTGGTTAAAATTAATTATCTAAAATGATAAAAGATTTATTAGTGTATTGTTCAAAATACTTTTAAATAATTATGTTGTTGATTGTCTTCTTTCTCTTTATTATTTTCTTCTTTTAAATTATAAACCCCTTTTTCTAATTCTTTTGAAAATGAAATTAATGAACAATATAACTTTAAAAATAATTAAGAGAAGGAGAGAAATTTTAAAAAAACTTGATTAGGTGATTGAAGATACGCTACTCCAAAACCAATTAAATTATCCTAATAAAAATATTTTTTTAAATTAATTTTAAAAAACTTTTTCTTTATCCAAAATAGTTGTTGAATAAACATTTTCTAATTTAATAAAAGAATTATTATTATTTTCATTAAATAAAGCTCCCCCAACAGATTTATTTAATTTTGTATTTGAAATAATTAAATTATTATTTTTTAATAATAACATTTTTAATTTTTAAAAGAGAACCTTTAATTTTAATATTTTACCTAAAAATAAATAAAATTTTGTAAAAATATATTTATTTCCGGTTTTTATACTTAAAATAAATACAAAAATATATTTATTTAAAGATAATTATCTACATAAAAATTCTTTTCAAGAATTGCGCGCAAACTCGTGCCCCCCCCTCTTCCTCCCTTTTTCTAAATTTAATTTTACATCTGGAAGAGGCAAATAAATAAAAAAAAAGAAAGAAGATAAAAATAGACACCAATAAATTGGGAACAAAATTGTAAAAACTTTTTTTTGGAAGAAAATTGGGAAAATAAATTTTAGATAAAATCAGCAAGGAATTGTAAATATATATTTTTAAAAAAATTAGGAATAATAATTAAGTGATATTAATTAGTTTTTCTTGAAAAAGAATTTAAAAAAATTAATTGAATAATTAAAAACTATTTAATAAAATTGCTTTAAAATATAAGCATTAAGGGGGAGGGGGGGAGGTGGTATTAATCAATTAAAATGTCAAGAGTTTAGCTAATTATATATTAATCTTAAATTTTTTTAGTACATACTAGGGTTTCACCGGAACCGAAATTTTGACCGGAACCGGAACCGGATCCAATTTGAGTTCCGGTTCCCGGAACCGGAACTTTTCTAAGTTCCGGCCCGGAACCGGAACCGGAACTTTAAAAAAAAATTCTAGCAAATTAAAAAATTTAAAAAAAATTATAAGAAATTTGAATTCAAAGTAGGTTTGTCGGTTTAACTCAATTATTCTGTTAACCGAAACAACTAACCGAATCGAAACTTTCGGTTAACCAAAATCGAACCGTAAAACCGAACCGTTCTACTTAAATCCCATGATATGCCCCCCCCTATTTTAACTCTTGGTACACGAAATCACCCAGTATCTTCCAAATCCCCATTAATCCATGCAAATTATCAAAAATAACCTATTCTTCCTTCCTTTTAGCGCCGCAGGCGAAAATTTTGTGAATTTCGGAAGGCCAAGTGAGACATGCCAAGTTTTGGAAGGCCAAAACCCCGGCTATCCTATCCCTTCTATCTACCTTGCACAGCTTAATCCCTCAATATTACACCCAGATCCCTCGGTATTACCTATGACCCCTTGAAATCACAGCTGTAAATTAAAATACGCCTTCATCCATCCAGATCCTCCGATATAAACTTCGTTTAACAGCGCCGCAGGCGAAAATTTTGAGAATTTGGAAGGATAACAAGCCAGATTTCTTCCTTTCCTGGCATCGCAGGCAAAAATTTTGAGAATTTGTGAGGCAAGGGCTAAATTTCTTCCTTTTCTTGCGCCGCAGGCGAAAATTTTGAGAATATTGTAACGCCAGCCGGGGAAGACCAACCCATATTTTTAAAAAAATCAATCTTTAGGGGTGTAAAAAAGTTCCGGTTTGCCCGGAACTGATTTGAAAACCGGAGCCGGAACCGGAACCAATTTAAGTTCCGGTTCCCGGAACCGGAACCAAAAAAAGGCCGGAACTTTCCGGAACCGGAACTTCCGGTGAAACCCTAGTACATACATAATCGCTCTAAAATACATTTAAAAATATACAAAATTCCCTAAAATACACCAAATAAATTTTCCCCAAAAATTAAAAAAATTTTTTTATAAATTTTATCAAAAAATCATTTAATTTACAATAAAACAAAAAAATGAATAATATAATGTCTTTCACACATTGTGCATGAGGTTATAATGTTAAAACAAAAAAACCGATAAATGGAATATATATTTAATAAATTCTGGACAGAATTAAATTTAAAAAAATAATTTACTTTCCAATCAATCCCTTCCTTCAATAATTTAATGCATATTGTCCCACCCACCTTCACGATTCTTCCAATCATCAATAGCACTTTGAGGGACTACCTCGTCTTTAAGAATTTTTCGATAATCATCCAAAGCAGCCTCCCCACTAGTCCCAGCACCAGAAGTATTACAAGCATTCTTATTCCAAGGATATTTCTCTTCCTTTGGAGGAAGACGAATTTTTTGATACTCGTTACTTGAAATATTTTTATTTATTAAATGAGAATTAAAAAAAAGTAAAAATTGTCTTAAAAGAAAATTTCAAAACTTTTACTTAAAATTCTGCATATCCCCTAAATATTTTCAAAAAATATTAAACTTCTTAAAAGGTCAATGAGCCCCACAAATCGATTACAAAAAGCCCCCAAATTACATTAAAATACAAATTCAAAACTTAACTATTCCTCAAGAGTCGTAATCGGCATTGGAATCATTCTTTCCCGATATTCTCTCTTTTCCTTCTTGCTTAAAGACATTGGGCGCTTCTCACAAGTAATTCTAAAAAATAAATATTTAAATTAATTAAACTTTTAAAAAACCGCCGAGACATCATTTCCTCGGTGACATACCAAGGTTTTTTAACTTCACTTGGCACATAAACGTTTTTAGCATTTTGGTTATTTTGTTGTTGTTGACTCATTATTGACACTTTTTAAAAAAAGAAAGTATTATTTATTTGTCTAAAAAATTAATATATTTTATTTTTAAATTTAATTTTAAAGATAAAAAAAGAAATGAAAGTGAATAAATTTAAAATTTGTTTTTATAAATAAATAAATAATCAATTAAAAACAGAATGCCAAAATTAGAAAATTAAGTAAATTTAAATTTTAAATACAGTAAGAAAATAACTGAGAAAGATTAAGTTCAGTTTAATCTATTTTTCTGTTCATAACTTTTTTTTAATTTCTTCTACCATTCTGAACACTTCTCACTAATCGACAGCTCTGAATGTGTTTATTTTATCTGTTGAGACAGTTCAGATACGTGATCATTTTCTAAAATTATTAATTTTATCTGGAATTAAATCTGGATTAAATCAGGACATTAAATCTGGACAACGTGCTAAATAAAATAAAGTTAAAACCACGAAAGAAGCCTCTAAACTAAATCAGTCACATCTAAGACTGATTTAGACATTATTTAAGACATCACATTTAAATCAGTCACATTACAGATCAAAATAAGAAAAAATTAAATATTATGTAAACTTTCGATTAACTTTAATAAATTTTTTAGGTAAAAAGAAAAAATGGAACCATTTTTTAAATATTTTTTGAAAAAATATTTTAGCCATTTTTGTTGCTTTTGATTTAAAAAAATAACTTATTCTTTATTAAAATATTTTTATTTAAATTTTCCAATAAAGATTTAATAAATTATTAAATAAAATTTTCTAGTTTTCTTTTTTCAATTTTTCAAAATTTATTTAATATATTTACAGTCAAAAACAAGTTTTATTTATTTACATTTTTTAAAATTCGCGCATTTTATATTCTTTTCCTTTATTAAAAATTTATTGTTATTTCTCTTGCATTTTGGCCAGAATTTTTAAATCAATCATATGAATTTTATTTAAAATCAATTGTTCTCTTTTATTAAATTTATTTTATTGTTTTCCATTTTCATTAAATTTATTTTTTTAATAAAATTAATAATATTATTTCTTCCTTCTGTGAATTTAAATAATAATTTAAATAATAATTAAATATAAAAATTCCATAAAAAGAGAATATTATTTTTGTAAATATTTAACAAATGATTATAGTTAATTATTATCAAAATTGTTTTTTTCCTTTCCCTTTTATTTATTTATTATCACATGTAGAAAATCGAATCGAGACTTCCCTCCAAATAAAATATTTTTACTTTTATCAATTTATTTATTTAAAAAATAATTTTATTTTTTAAAATTTCATTAAAAATGAGAATAATAATAAAAATATTTTTAATTTTTTTCTTCCAATTTTCAAATTATTTAATTTTTGCTGATGAAAATACTGAAAATGTATTTGTTAATAAATAAATTATTTTTTAAAAATTTTTTTAAATTTAAAGTTCCACCAATCCTCTTTAATTCATTCAGTATACGAATCTGTAACAATTAAAGTATATCCACAAATTTCTGGAGTTAGAGTAGAAGCACCTCTTCACACAAATGCTTTCCACACTTACGAGTAGTTTTAATTGAAGTTTTCCCTTTTATTTTTCTTTAAAAAGGTCATCAGGTATTTCTGTAGTAGAACCTGGACTTCCTGTTCGTGTAGTTATTTTTGGGATGTTTTTGGACAGAATAGCTTTAATTTCGTTTACAACAGATAATTGCTTAAATCCTGGCAAGTAAACAGAGAAATTTTAAAAATAAATAATTAAAATTAAAATTTAAGTATTTAATATTTCACATAATGAATTTATTTCTCATTCTGAAAAATTAATTGAATTAATTGCTAAATTTAAAGAGTTAAGTGTTGTTTTATTTTAAAAAATATTTTTTTAAATAATTTTTAAAGAGATGAAGATGCTTACAGAATGTGTTTATTAGAAAAAAGGGAAGAATTGTCTGATGTTGAAGAAGATTTAGTTTTGGTTGGGAATTTAATTAAAGAAAAATATTTTTCCTTTATTTTGTTAATATTAGATAGACGAAATGCGTACATGGATTAGAGCTACATCTGACCCCCCAGTTCATTATATGCCCGAAGAATTACAAGTATTTAGATATATATTCTCTAATTATGTCCATTAAAAGTTGCTAATTATTTTTTGTCTTTTTATTTTGTCGGCACTTTTTTCTGGTTTAAATCTTGGTTTAATGGCTCTATCACCACAAGAATTAACTTTAATTTTAAATTCTGGCTCAGAACGTGAAAGGAAATATGCAAAGGTTATTTTGCCGGTTAGAAAAGCTGGAAATAAATTACTTTGCACAATACTTATTGTATGTAGATATATTTAAATTTGTTTTAAAAAATTTGTTAAAAGATGAATGTAATTGTTAATTCAGCTATATCCATTTTACTTGAAGATTTAACTAGTGGAATTATTGCTTTTGGATTAGCTTCTATTGGAATTGTTGTTTTTGGTGAAATTGTTCCCCAAAGTATTTGTATTAAGTAAATAATTGAATTTTAAATTAGAAAATATTTTTTGTTAAAGAAAAGGACTTCAAGTTGGAGCAAAAACTATTTGGTTAACTCGGTAAAATAGTTACAAAAAATATATTTATTGTTTTATCACTACAATTTATAGAAAAATTTAGAAAATTCAATCACCCCTATTTTTTGCTCGTACTCGTTTACGAATTTTGGTAGGAGCTTCGAAGCATTTCCCAATAAATTATAGACCATTTTGTATATGCTTAATTTAAATAATTTAAAAGTTTCTTCATGTTGATTACATTGCCGTTAGCCTGGCCTATAGGAAAATTATTGGATTGCATTTTGGGAGAAGATTTAGTAAATATAATTACTTTAAAAATTAAAATATTTAATTAATTTTTTATATCGATATTGACCACGGCCAATTATTGGAAATGCTTAGAATGGCACATCAACAAAGTGAACATCAAGATGAATTAGCTGAAGATTTAAAAATAGCTGTGGGGGCTATGGAAATTGCTGAGAAGAAAGTTTGTGATGTTATGACACCTGTTGAAGTAATTTAAAAAAAGATTTAAATAAAAAATTAAAATAAAGGATGTTTTTATGCTTGCAGAAGAAGCTATTTTGGATGCGGAATGTGTTAGTGAAATTGTTAGAAGGGGGTATTCGAGAATACCCGTTTATGTTGATAATAATAGAAATAATGTTACAGGGTAATTTTTAATTTTAAATTTCAAAAATAATTTCTTCTTTTCAAGCCTTTTATTTATCAAAGATTTGGCACTTTTAAAGCCAAATGAACGTTTTACTGTTAGAACAATATGTGATTTCTATAAACATAAATTGCGGTTTGTTAATGAATCTACTCCGTTACAGACAATGCTTGAGGAATTTAAAGAGGGAGAATATCATTTAGCGGTTATTCGGGGAGGAGAGGAAGAAGAGGAAGAAGAAGGGGAGGATGAAGTGGGAGGAGAAGAAGGAGGAGGGGAAAGGAATCCAATAATTGGAATAATAACATTAGAAGATATTGTGGAAGAAATTTTACAAGCAGAAATTGTTGATGAAAGTGATGTTGTTACCGATAATAAATTTAGAATAAAAAGGTTAACAAAATGGCAAACAGAAGGGAAAATTAGAAGAAATTTAATTAAAAATTGTTTTGGAGAAAGTTTGGGGGAAGAAGAAGAAGATAAATATAAATGTTTGTCTACAACATTGACTAAAGTTATGTAAGGATGCTTTTTTTGTTTGGAATTGAAATTTTGAGGATGTACATATTCCATAAGAAGAAATTTCTTTTAGTAAAGCAGCTGGGCTATAGCTATGTCTCCCCTTCAGCTAGTGCAGCAGGTTAATCGGCGGCTGGGAGCGAACCAGCATCTTCAGTAGACCGGACTGATTATCATTACACCATGCCGCCTTATTCCTAAAAACCTCGGGAATTAAATAGCTATATGCTTTACATTTTGCTCTTTGAGGAGGGGAAAGTTCAGGATTAACCCCCCCCCCCACTCAAATACAATTAGGTATAAAAATATTTTTATTTATTTTTAAAAGAGTTCATTGGCTTTCTACAAGTCACCCAAATTTATTTGGTGAAAAAGTACTTGATATTAAAGCTTTATTTTTGCTTGTAAGAAGAAATGTTCATAAAGTAATATTTTTTTAAATAATTTAAAAATAATTTTTAATTAAAGATTGATTTATGTAGACCAAAACAAGGGGGATTTAATTATATTAATGGAGGGAAAGAAGAAAAAATATTTCTTTACAGGTATTTTGTATATAAATAAGTTTAAAAATTAATTAAGAGCTGGAGAACCTTCTGATCGGTTTATTTTATTAATTGAAGGAAAGGCAACAATTAAATTCGAAAAAACAAAAATGAAATTTGATGTGGGGCCTTGGGAATCTTTTGGTTTAAATATTTTGGATAAATTAGAGGAAATAATTAAAACAAAAAAAGAATTTAAAGAATTAAATAATGAAGAAGGAGAACAAAAAGGAAGGAGAAAATCAACAACAAATCATCATTTTATTAATAGTTAATTTAATTTTTAAATTTAATTTAATCTTTTTGAAAATTAAAAAGAAAAACATATCCCCCCTGTTATATCCGAGGATTGTCCGAGATCCTCGGAAGCAGTTTATCGGTGTAGAAGAAAGAGTTGGACCAGACGGAGATCAGTGACTAGCCACGCTAGTATGATCCACTAAAAATAACATTTTATACTATCCCAACACCACTACATATATAACACCTCCCCCCTCCAAACATTTAAAAATTAATTTTTATTTTTTTTTAAAGATTTTCACAATTCAATTGAATTTATTCCTGATTATGATTTGGAAATTAAATCAGACTGTAAATATTTAAAAATAACATTTTCTACTTATTTGGCATTTATTCGACTTTCTGGACTTTTAAAAACAATTAAAGAATTTAGACAAACAGACCCAAATTTATTTCAAAAATCCCCAACAACAACAACCCGTAAATATTTATCTAATCCAAATTCTCTCCAAACATTAAATTCTATAGAGGTTTTTAATTAAAAATAAATTAATTTAAAGTAGTTTAAGGAATTAAAAAAACAAAAAAGATGTTTAAGTACTATTTCTGTTCCTTTAGAGGTGCCTTTACTTAGAAAATTTAAATTTTAGAGAAAAAAGAGAAGAGAAGAAAATTATTTAATTACTTAATATTTGGATATTTTTTAAATATTTAAAAATTAATAAAATTTTTAATTTCCAAAAAAATTTATTTTTAAAATAAAAATATTAAACAACTGTTGTTCTTTTTTAGTTAATAAAAAAATTTTTAAAAAATATAAAGAGACAAAAAACAATAGAAAAAATAATCAGATAAAAATATATTTTAAATTACCTAATGACTCCCATCATTCATTTAACTTTTTTTGTGTGTGGGGATTCTTGCTTATTTTTTTGACAGATTTATAAAATACCTCGATATTATAATTAGGTAGTTAGTATCAAAAATTAATTTTTAAATGTTACTTAATTTATAAAAATAATAATTTTTTAGAATTATTTTTAAATTTTGTTTTGAAAGAAATAATTTTTTTAATTTAATAATAAATTAAATAAAACTTAAAAATTAAATGAATGGAAGTTTATCTCATAACAACAAAGAACAACAATTACAGAAAAACAAAAAAGAAAACATCAAAACAAAAGAAAACAAACAACAACAAAATGTTTTGAAAGAAAACTCTCCCTCTTCTTTCTCTTCTTCTCATTGTTGTTGTTGTTTTTGTAGAAGAGATAAAGAAAGAGAGAAAAAGAAAAGGTTGGGGAAAAGTTTTTAAAGTTATTTTTTATATTTAAATATTTTTTTCTAAATTTTAAATGATGGATTAATTTCCTCTAAATTTTTTTAAAAATTAATTTTTGAGAAAACAAATGTTTTATTTTTCTTTAAAATAGGCTATTTGTTTTTAACACCTTTTTTTGATTTATTTTTGTGTTGAGAAATAAATGTGAGAAATTAATTTTTAATTAAATTTATTAATTAAAAAATTAATTAATTATTATCTCACATACATATTATTTATTCAAAAAGATAAATTTTTTTCCTATTAAACTTTTAATCAGTGGTTGGAATTTTGAAATTTGCCCGCACATGTACTCGTACTTGCCTAATTTTTTCTTGTATTCGTACACAGGTACGAGTACGAATTTTGGTACGAGCTTCCAACCACTGCGTCCAATGAAGTTTTAGTTAATATTTTTATTTTTTTTAAAGTTCCATAAAATTATCATCATCATCATTACCACCAACTAATCAACGAACAAAACAACAACAATTACCTTCACACTTTGATCATCCTTTTTCATCCTCTTCCTCTCTATCTTCCTCTTCTTCATTTTCTTCTTCTTCACGTCTTTCATCTTCATTTTCTTCTTCATTTGACAATTCTTTATCTACAAATTTTTCTTTTCATCACCGTCATCGAAGGAGAGGGGGAATGCGCTGGCTTAAAAAACGTCCAGAAAAGGCTTATTGTCGATTACTTAGAGTTTTTTTTTAATTTAATTTTAAATTTAATTAAAAAAAAGGAGAATACAACATTTCACGGAATTAGAGATTCAATAGCTACTGGGGGTTGGTTAAGGGCCCTTTGGATTTGTATTATTTTTCTAGCTTCTATGGCTGCTTTAATTGGTTGTGGATTTATTGGTTAATTTTGAATTTAAATTTTGAATTTTAAATTTAAATTTAAATATTTGTTTTTTCTAGTTTGGGAATTTAATAATCGTCCTTTATCAGTAACTTATAGTATAAGAGAGAATGGTTAGTAATCTTCTAAATATTTAAATAAATTTATTTTTTAATTTTATTTTTCAGTTAGTTTAATAATCCCAGATATTATAATTTGTCCATTTAATCGTTTTAACAAAACTTATTTAAATTATTGGAATGTTAGCGATAATTTAGCACAATATTTGGAGGTACTTTTAAAAAATTACCGTATTTACTCGATTAATTCCCCCTGCTACGGATGGGTTGAAAAAATAATTCCCCAGAGGAATTAATCGAGTAAATACGGTATTTAAATATTTATATTTTTTTAATTTTAAAGTTAGCATTTCCCCAAGCTTCCCAACATCCATTTCAATACAAATCTTACAAAAATTTAATTGACAAAATAAATGATTTGGAAGAAGAATTAAATAAATTATTATTAAATATTGGAATTTCTTTTGCTGATTTTATTGATAAAGTTTTTAAATTTTTAAATTAAATTTTTGGGAAAGAAAAAATTTTTTAGGCAGCAATTAATTGCAAAGCATTTTTTGCGAGTGATAAATCAATTTGTGATAATTCAAAAGAATTAATGTCGATGACTGGAAAATGTTTTAGAATTAAAGGGGAAGAACAGAAAATTGATGGAAATGGACATCCACAAAAATTAATTTTAAATTTGCCAACAAAATTATTTAATCCTGCGCCTAATCAAATGTTAAATAATGGAATTTTGGTTAAATTAGCTGAGAGAAATAAAGGAATAGATCATGATATGTAAATATATTTTAAAATATTTAAAAATTAAAAATAAAAAGGTCATTTATACCTGCTGGGGTACATGCAATGATACAATTAACTGGTAAATAAATATTAGTGACCGGTAAAATCGATTTTTCCGGCACCGGATCCGGATTTGCAACTTGAGCCGGACCTTATCCGACGGTTTTTTCCGGATTAATCCGGTCCGATTTTAAGCCGGAAATTAAAAAAAACTCTGTATTGGGACACGGACTCCGGAAAAATCATCCCGGATCCGGTCCGGCCCCGGTCACTAATAAATATATTTAATTAAATTTTAAATTTATTTTAAGCAACACGTTTTGAATTTAAACATTATCCCCCTCATTTCCTTTGTAGAGAAGAGGAAGAGTCTTATTCCCGTGTTTGGTGTTTTGAGGTAATTTTTAATTAAGTCAAACAAAAAAATATTTTAATTAAAAAAAGAAATGTTTTCTTGAGGAAGCAGAAAAGAAATGTAATTGTTCTTTAGCGGCAGCTTCCCAACCTGGAAGTCCAAATATTTGTACACCCAGACAATTCTTTAATTGTTTTTATATTGTTTTACAATTTACAAATGCTAGTTATGTTGATGATAATGTTGCGGTAAGGGAAGGGGGAGTGATGGGGAGAGGGGAGGGAGGAGGAAGGAAGAAAGGGGAGGGAGAGAGAGAGGGAGGGGAAGGGGAGGGGGGGAAGGGGAGGGAGGGAGGGAGACACTTGATTACACAGTAATTCAACAGGGGAGTGGGAGGGAGGAAGTGTTTGAAAGTTAAAATTAAATTAATTTAGAAATGTAAAACAATGTGTTTACCTCCTTGTCGAAATTGGAGATTTGATAAAACAATTAGTTATGGTAAATGGATAAATTAATTAATTAAATTTTAAATATTTTTTAAAGCTAATTTTCCCTCTGAAGTTGCTAAACATTTTGTAAAAGACAAAACAAAATGGGAAAATTTACAAAATACAATTATGTAATTCTAATCTTAATTTAAAATAAATAATTAATTTAAAAATTAAAAGTTTGGATGTTTTTTACACAACACTTGATTACACAGTAATTCAACAAATGTTAACAATAACCCCGTCTTCATTTATTGCTCAACTTGGAGGTCAGTGGCTTCGACTGACCTCTAAGTTGGGAGGTCAGTCTAAAAGCTTGAATGAAATAATTAAAATTTGGTTGGCCACTGGGTGGGGGAAGATGTTTAAGCGATGATCCCTCTAATGGATTTTTTTCTCAAATTTACCCTCCTCTTACTTTCTGTTGAAAATCTCAATTTTAGATATATTTAACTTAAAAATTAACAATTTTTAGGCCAAATTTCACTTTGGATTGGAGGCTCAATTATTTCAGTTATTCAATTAATTATTTATTTAATTAGTTATTTATTTGTTTATTTCCGTCGAACACGCCAAGAAACAATTAAAAGAATGAGAGAAAATAGAAAAAGAAGAGAAAGTGAATTACTTAATATTGAAAAAAATAAAAAAGAAATTGCTTTGGAAGGGGGATTACCTGAACCTGCAGAAATTGAAATTTTATGTCAAAAAGAAAAGAGGAAAATTAAAAGAAAAAATAAAAAGGAAGAAAATAAAGGAGAAGAGGAAATTAGTAGTAAATTTAAAAAAGAAATTAAAAGAAGGAAAAGGAGAAGAAAAATTGGGAAAGAAATTAAATTTGGTTAGTAAAAAGATTTTTTGTTGGGACTAATTAAAAGATTAGGATGTACATAGAGTAGAGATTGGACAACTAGAAGGGTCATTCAAGATATTTCGAAAAAGCTCGACAATCGAGATTTTAATTTGAGATCCATTCTCTAAGATTTAAAAAATTAAGAGAAACAAATACTTACTATAATCTACTTTTAATTTCCTTTTTTGTGAAATTATATTAATTTTAAACCGAGTATTTTTTAAATTAATTTCAGATTCTCCTCAAAAATCTGATAAAAATAATATTGAAAACTCTGATTATAATTATGAAATGGATGATGTTAATTGTATTACAGCAAGGGTTTGAATTGGGGGTTTATCTTTTAATTTATATAAAATTTTCTGTGTAAAAATGTTTATTCATTGAACAATTTTTAAAATTTATAAAAGCTTTATTTAATAAAAGAAATTTTTTGACATAAATTTATTTAGAATTATGGGAATGTGAGAACATTTTTATGAGTAAAAAAGCTAAAATGGAATGTTTAAATGGCTAATATTTATTTTTCTAAATTAAAGGGTTTTCTTAAAAATTTATAGAGAATTTCAATAAAAAGCTTTTTCTAATCATGCTAAAAATAAATCTTTTGATGCGCCAAATGTAAAAAATTAATTCAAAAATTTATCTTCCAAACTTTTGGCACACCATAACTTTAAAAAAACTAAAAATTTTCACAAACACATTAAAATCCTAACAAAAAATTATGGAATGTTTCTCTAAAACCCAAAAATTTTCAAAAAATTCAAATTCCAAGTTCTTCTTTTTCAAAGGATTCCAAAAGCAAATCAACTTGATATTCACGTCCTCCTTGTTTAACAAAATCAAGAAGTTCCAACATGTGTTTAATGCCAAATGAGAATTTAACTTTATTTAATTTATTCTTAATAGAATTAATTTCTTTTGTTTCAAATCCACCAGTCTCTTCTAAAACAGCACAAATGTGTTCTGGTTTAGTGAGACATTCTACACTAATTATTGAACTAAAAGAATAAAGCAAATTAGCTTCACGAAGAAAATGCTCAGTTGAAGTAGTTGCAATTATGAGAAGACGACGATTCTTTAAAAATTAATTTCGTGAAACTTGATAAATTTAATGGGCATTAAAATCGCATAATGTCAAGAACCCAGTCTCTATCTTGTTTCCAGGCTTTCTATGGAAATCTATCAAATTATAGCTCATACGAAAGAGCTATAGAACCGAGTCTACTGAACCCGAAATCTGATTGAGGAAAAACATGTGCTGTTACGGAGGGTAAGCCAGGCATGATTCTCCCTACACGATGGCCGTCATTGCCTCGGTAGCTGTGGTGTAGTGAGGTGGTGGAAAAGAACTCGATTAGGGGTCCCATTTAGGGGTTCATAAAAAATATTTGTAACAGTTACCTTTGGAGGACGTTTTCCAAGTAGCACCAAAAGAGCTTGAAGCACCAAATTTGAATATCTAGGCCCAATTGGAGAGTAATCAAGTAATCGTTCAATATTATCAATAATTATACAGCCAAGAGGAGATTTATAAGCATCCTCAAATATTTTTCGTAGTTGAGAACATTTTGCTGATTCAGTATAGCCAACCATATCTTCAGGAGAGCAAACTTTGATAAATGGAAATTCAGATTTTTTGGCGATATGTGCGGCCAAATAAGTTTTTCCACTGTTTGCCGGGCCTTAAAATTATAAATTTTTAAATTATTTTTAGAATCCTAAATTATTACCAGCCAGCAGAGCTCTCACAAAGCCTCTAGTATCTGGAGCAGCAGTTTCTTTAATAAGTAGGTCACCTGACTCGAGTACTTTTGTAACTGAATCACCCCAACAAATAAGCCCTCCATAAAGTAAACGGCCCAAGTCTTCGTCGTTATGACCAAATGCCTTTAATATTTTAGTCTAGATTGAAAAAAATTAAAAACTTACAGGTTTAACATCATGCTCCAATGCGTGTTCAAAATCATCACTAGTAATCATTAATTTCTCAACAGCATCCTCATCAACTTGAACTTTCCCACCAGCCTTTACAAGTCGATTCATTGCTGAAGATTGAGCTGCTCTTACAAGTCCCTCCAATTCAGCACCAGAGAAATTTTTTGTTTTATGGGCAAGTTCAGCAATATTAACACTTGGATCAAGTTTATTGTATTCTCTATAAATTTCTAAAATTACGTATAAGTTAAAAAGTAACCTCATCCTAGCAGTATGAATCTTGAGTATTTGAACACGTCCATTCTCATCTGGCAATGAAATCTCCAATTGAACTTCAATTCTGCCAGGACGGAGAAGAGCCTCATCAATCATATCCTAAATTTTAAAATATTTGGTACTTTCCTGTTATCGGCCCTCCATTTTTTCTTCCTTTTTTCTCAGCCTAGTTTCGTACAGAATGGTCAGATTTTCTTTCTTTCTCAAATTCACTCCATCTCCCGATGGCATATTCAAATGAGACGTTAATGAAGAAAAGTTGCGGAAAAATCCTAAAGACACGACGAATACACAGAAAATTGAACCTTTGTTGGGAACTTTCATTTCGTGTGTGGGAATCTTTTCTTTGTTAATGTTGCCACCGGGAAATGGAGTGAATTTGAGAAAGAAAGAAAATCTGACCATTCTGTACAGAACTAGACTGAGAAAAAAGGAAGAAAAAATGAGGGCCGATAACAGGAAAGTACCAAATATTTTGTAAAGATCTTTAAATTAAAAACTTTTCGGTTAGTCATTCCAATAACGAGAATATTGTTTAATTGTTCAACACCATCCAATTTTGTGAGAAGCTGATTAACCACAGTATCATGTACTCCCGTTGCGCCTGTCTAAATAATTAAAAATAAAAATGTTCAAAAATTAATTAAGACCATAGATCCTCTTTGTTTGCAAATTGCATCAATTTCATCAAAAATAATTATATGAAGTCCAGAATTTGAACCGCAACGACGCCATTCTTCCTCTGCATCAGCAAATAATTTTCGCATTTTTGATTCAGATTCCCCAACAAATTTGTCTAAAATTTCAGGTCCATTCACAATTTTAGGTTCACGAGCATTAAGCATTTTTCCAATTTGACGAGCAATAAGCGTCTTTCCGGTTCCAGGAGGACCAAAAAGAAGAATTCCACGAACGTGTTTCATCGCTATTTTTAATTAGAACAAATTAACAAATATTTGAAAAATCATACTCACCCAATTGTTCAATAAATTCCGGAGGAAAGACACGCGATGCAAACGCACGTCTAAAAATGTCAGAAAATTCTTTATCCAATCCTCCAATTCCCATCTGTTGGAAATCCCAATCTGGATTAATTAGAGCTTTGTGCGTAGATTTTCCCTTTGAACGGCCAATTAGATTTAGTTGAGAACCTTCTGAAGAACGATCAAAAATAACAACAGCATTTGGGCTCAAAGGACCGAAATGACACTAAAAATAATTTTTTAAATAATAATTATATTTTTTTAAACCTCTTGTGGTTGTGAATTAAATGTAATTCCCTCCATTTTTCTCACAAAAAGTTTCAAGGTATAAACAGTCGGCAACTTGTCATTTTGTTGTTGTCCTCTTCGTTGCTGGCTAAATTCAAAAACCAATTCTTGATCCTTAGTGAAAGCCATGTTCGCAAACTGCATCAGAAACTCACGAGCCATCTGATCAGAATCCAATGGCTCCGTAGGATTTGCACTAAAAATATTTTAATTTTATATTCACAAAAATATATAATTACGGCTTCTTCATGAAATCAACAGTCAGATTTATGAAAGTTATAATTTGTTGTCCAGGAGGAAAAGAATAAGGATGGACCTGAAGAAGTATTTTTAAAATTAAATTTAAAAGAAAATTAAAAAAGAACCTGAACAATTTGTTCCAAGCCAACATTTGTCCAACGTCGTTGAGGCAAAGAAAAACCAATCTCCCCTGGCTGAATCCCATTATGATTGGCAAATGAGAAAATATAATTATGTGCAGGGCCAGTTATAACTCGAACATAGCTAACAAAGAGAAGATAAAAATATTCCGAAATTAAGAAAACCTGGTAAGTGCTGCATCTAAATCATGTTGATTTAAATAAACTTTGTTCGTTAAAGAAGTCTCCGTAGTTGGAAGTTTAGAAATACGCAATTTTAGTATGCTCATTATAACTAAAAAATGATTTATGTAAAATTAAAATTATAAAAGTAAGAATACATAAAATGGAAAAATAAAATGATCTTATTTTATACATAATTTTCTTTTATTAAACTTTAGGGGCGCGGTTTAAGACAGCGAATATTCTCTTTGTATCAAAAATGTGTTAGAATTTATAATTTATGCTCCATATTGTTTACTTACTCATCATTTAGAATAAATAGTACAGCATTTAAATGTCGTCTAATCTTAATTTTTGCATAAAAATACATAATTAAAAACTTTTTGCAAAGTAGTATGTATTAATGGTGGCCACCAGATACATAGTAAGACAATTTCACATTGGCTAGTCCCATAGTAGACTGCTATAATTTTAAGCCTGCGCTAAACCAGACCGCGCCAAGTTGACTGTATAATGTCTCTCTTATATTAACCATTCTATTTTCACGTGCGCCAATTTCACGTTTCACTGCAGTTTCAGCCAGTTGACGCACGCGTGAAAACTAGCTAAATCTTTTCCTTAAACATAACGCCAAAATTTAAGTTTAAATGTCTATCTACTCTCTTTATTTTATTGCGTCTCTCGTGCGTCTGACTTTATTGTAAACAAGAGAAAGGGTCAGAAGTGAAAAATGACAAAAGGTTCAGCAACTAGGAAAATCCTAATTAAACAAGAAATTTTAGAGAGAATCTTGAAACAGAGAATTTTAAAACAATTATCTATGAAATGGTTTGAACAAAATTTCAAAAATTTGTGATAGTTTTCGAGATACGGAATTTTAAAGTTTTATAAAATTTGTCCTCGCAGTCGCGAAAAAGAGTGCAGAAAAGAAAGAGAGACAATTAGAGAACGAAAGAAAGTAGAAATAGAAAACTAACTTAGTTTTCACGCGTGCGTCAACGGGCTGATAGTGCTGTGCCGTTTAACCAGCCTTGATGAAATTTTGTTATTGTTTGATAAAAGATATGAGTCATTTTCCTTTATATGTATGTATGTAAGTTATTGACGCGAATGATATCATTTTATGAATTTATGATTAAAGTTTTAATTTATTTAGAAATTAAAAGCTTCTTTTGAACTTTTTAAATCAATTTATTAAAATGTCTTTGAATACATCCAATACACCAGATGGTCGCGGTGTGATAATTTACAATGGTGAAATGTAAGAACTACATAAATTATAACAAAGATAATTAATATTTAAATTTCAGAATCCTTTTGTTTGTTCGCGAAGTTAATTTAAGTTTTGATAAATACACAGCACCGGAATTTAAAGGAACTAAAAAGGGAAATCTTTATTTGACTTCACATCGAGTTTATATTTTTAATTTTTTAGTTAAAACAAATTTAGATTATTTTCAATAATGTCACCGAGCCTAATAGCAATTTCAAATCGCTCTCAATGCCCTTTGTTTCTTTGCGTGACATTAAACTTGAGCAGCCAATATTTGGGGCAAATTATCTACACGGTGAATTGATCGCACAGCCAGATGGAAACTGGCAAGGAGAGGCGTCTTGGCGTTTAACTTTCAAGCGTGGAGGTTGTATTGACTTTGGGCAGGCATTATTGAAGAGCGAAGAAATGAGTCTGTATTTTGATTAAATAATTCTTAAAATCCTCTTTTAAGCACAAAATTATGCTCGTCGACCATTTGATGCGCCACCGCAATATGCGCCTCCTGCAGGTGATTATTACGCAGCGCCACCAACATACTACTGGACAGGTGGAAATTATAATGGGTATCAAGCACCCACTCATGTATTTAATGAACAGCCGCCAGGTTGATTTTTTTAAATTTGATTGATAACTGGAATTTTGTTTTCAGCGGAGAGTGTCTATATGTGGGACTGCCCACCGCCGTATCCAGGAATGGGACAGGCTGTTCCCAATCCACCACCGCAAAATCAAACAGGCGGGAGCGTTGGTCCTTCAGCGCCACCATATCCAGCTGGAGGTCCACCACAATATCCTACAAGCGGCACTCATGGAGGAGCACCATATCCAGCTGGCAATTCACCTTATCCGACTTTAGGTGGAACGCCATATCCAACTGGTAATCCACCATACCCAGCTGGCGGTCCACCGTCTTACAATCAAGCAACTGCTTTGCCACAAAAAGTCCATACAGATTAAAGAATTTATTTGATGAGTTGAAGACTTTGTAAATGAAATATATTTCTAACTTTGAGGGAATTATATTCTTATACGCCTGCCATTGGTTGATATCTTTTATTAATTGGAGATCAAAAATTTTTATAACCGTTTTAAGTAAAAATAACCGGCGGCTGGTTTAGTATTTAAACATTCCTTTGACAAAAACACATCACTAGATTTTTTCTAGTTTTATGATTTAAATTATCTAAAATATGTATACTTTCGAGTAAAAATGTATTTTTAAAATTATCAGATAAATAAATACCATTTTATTCTTAAATAGTTTGAATTCAAAAACAAAAACATTAAAAATAATAATAAAAGCTCGCCCAAGATACGTATGGGGAACAATAAACCATTAGAAAGGTCAAAAAAGTTTTAACAGTTAGTCATTCAAGACGAGACCGTTTCGGTGAAATTTCAATATCATCACTTCCGTCCTTCATTCCATCCTCATTCATACAAACCTCTCTAGTTTCTTGAGCTGTTGATGGTCGTTTTCGTTTTAGCTCTTAAATATAACAGTAAAATTTTAAAATAAATAAAGGGATTCAGCGAAAACAAACTACCCTAGCTTATATCTAAACTAAACAATATATTTTTGGACATTCAAGAAAAATACCACAGAAATACTAAATTGAAAAAATTAGAACCTTCATCCTTATCCAAAGCATTCTCGTTGTCCAGCGCTGTAGCAGCAATCTTTCCGGTTACAGATTCCTTAAAAACAAACAGTAATTAAGTTTATAATTAAAAATTATTTAAAAAACCTCAACATTTCCAACATTAGAATCAACAGCAAAACCATCAGCGTCAAGTTTATCGTCATGGAATATAATTATTTTAAAGTTTAGTTGTTGGGCATAATCATCGCATTCCAATTGAGAACCATTCAAAACACCCAATGATTGAAGTGTTCGATCCATTATACCTTAATTTTGTTTAGAACTCAAAATTATTTTAAAGATTTTACCATCAGTTTCTCCTTCCTCACTAGAAATTAATACACGATGTTTTTGACAAATATCCATAACATCTGGTTTTAACATATTAAGAGTTTTGAGAAGTATTGTAGACAAAAATGTTTTTAATAACATTTTCTCCAAATTCACTCGAATAAGCACTTGACCTTTAACTGAACAAACATAACAATTCGGATTTGGTGGAGCTGGTTTTTCATCAACAAGGATTTTGCCGCGAGGATTTGGCTGACGGGTGATAAAAATCTAAAATTTTAAATTTTTGTTAAATTTTTCACAGTTAAGAATCATTAGAAAATATTAACTTACTGCTCTACATTTATCAAGTTGTCCACAAATAATCTTTAAAGCTTCAACAACAACCATCCCCGCAACACAAGCATTTGTTGTAGCAATTGCTGGAATAATATTTCCCGCCATTGCTAAAAATTATTTTATTTTAATTTTTAAAAACTAAACAAACCCTTTATATTAAACAAAGTATCAATTCCAATATGAAAAATATGAGCACGTAAATTAGCACAAGCAGCCACAAATCTCATTGCTGCATCGTCATCCTTATCCCAAACAAGAGTATTTTTGTCTGATTGTTGTTGAATTTCTTGATATTTACGTGCTAATTCAACTGTAGATTCTTCAAAAATTTGGGCCCAACGAGAAATACTCCATTGAGTATTTGGGTCTAATGAAGCCTTTTCTACATTACTACAGCCAAGTCCTTTTAGTTTAAAATTAAAAAAAATATTTTAAATTTACCTGAAGAAACAAGTTCAGAAAATTTGATAGGAGTAGGTTTCTTCCTTTCTTTCCATAAATCAGCCATCAAAAGAAGATAATTGATGTCAGTATGAAAAAGCTTAAAAAATAACATGAAACTTTTAAATTAAATTTGAATTAAAATTTTATAATTCAATTAAAGGGATTAAAATTTAAAATAAATAAAGTTAGGAAAAATCCCACAAAAAAGGCCTAAAATAATAATAAGAGGAAAAAATATTTTGAGGTTAAAAATATAAAATATTTCAGATTTTTAATTTTAGAAATACCTTGTCAAATAAATGTTTTGGTTCATATCCATTATGCTCTGCCAACTGTCGTGTATTCAAATGAATTTTTGGTTGTTCAATGTGCTCATTACTTCCATTTGCAGAATTTTCTTTTGTTGTATGATGACCATTTGTTGATGTATTGTCTGCTGAAGAATTTTCTGAAACAGTTGGTAAAGATTCCATAGAGTCCATTTCAGGAGAAACATCATCATCTGGATCATTTTCTCCAAAAAGTTGGCTGAATGAAGAAATTTTTCATTTTTTTTTTTGAAAAATTTTTCATTTTTCAATTTCAAATTTTTCAAAAAAAAGAAAAAAAAAGAAAAAAAAAATTTCTTTAAAATAAATTTTTAAAGAAAAAAAGGTAAAAGTCTCGAACATGGCTACCAAACGAAAATATTTGAATCATATGCCATTCGAAAAAGCACCAAAATTATTCCACAACCCTGTATCTCAATCTAAAGTTGTTTCCGCGGAATAATTTTGGTGTCATTCGACACAGCTCGCCGAACTCTTTCGAATGACAGATGATTAAAGTGCTTTCGTTCGGTAGCCATATTCGAGACTTTTTTCAAAAAAAACAAACTTGAAAGCACTTTTCGCCCAAACAATGCAGTGAATTAATTCAGATGGAGTATTTCGAATAGTGCAACTTGGAAATGTCTAAAATGTTTTTATTTGTATATTTATTTAGAAAAAATTCAAAAACCTTTTGAATAGGTTTCGGAGTGCAATCATAACATTCAGTTCGGCCTTTAAGAATTACAGAAACTTGCCCTAAATAACCAGCAGAACCACTCTCAACAAGAGGAACATCTGCAACCAAACAAAGTCGATTAACATGACTGCGTGCTGCTGAAAAATTTTAAGAACAAAAAATAAAGTTAAGACAAAATTAAACAAACCTCTATTGTCCAAAGCACTCATAATCAAAGAAAAATTTCGAAAAAAGTCGACCCCGAATTTTTCATTCATAATTGAATCATGATAAAAAGTAATATTAACATCTGGAGACATTTGTTTAACAACAGAGCTTGCAATTTCTGCTTTTGATTTGCCTACATGTTCTTTACGGAAAAGAAATTGGCGGTTAAGATTACTAATTTCAATTGTGTCAAGATCAATCTAAAAAAATAAATTTAAAAAATCTTTAAAATTAATTAAACTTACAACTGTAATATTCTTAAAACCAGACATTACAAGATTCTTTAATAATTCACAACCAATTCCTCCAGCTCCAATAACAAATACTTTACTTTCGGCTATTTTCTTTTCAAAGTCTGGATCATTAAAAGAAATCATTTTTTGTTATAATTGTAGAAAATTAGAATAAACCTTTAAAAATTAAAAATAAAATATTAAATGAAAAATATATTAGTAAAGGATCACAATGGTAAGGCTTTGAATTAGACAAAAAAAATTTAGAAAAAAATAAAATTTTTGGCACTAAAATTTTAAAAATAAAAATACTAGTAGAGTGTCAAGACTCAATTAACCCTTTCGAAAAATTTCGTCTCGCGCCTAAATTTTTTCAGACACTTGAGGCTAGAAAAGTATTTCTCATCTGTTTTTGATTAAACAACAAAGAATGGTTTAGAAATGAATCCCTTGCAGTTTAATGAAGGAATAAACAATTCTATTGGTAAGTAAAAATTTATCAAATAATTATTTGCAACATTTTATCTTTTTTAAAAGGCTTTTCTGAAGGTAATCCTCCTCCTTTTCAACAACCATACGTTCCACCTGTTCGCTATTTGGAAGGAGGGGATGCACAACCAGTTGCTCCACACTTTCCAATTCAACAACATCAGCAACAGAGAGGATCTATGCAAAGACCTAGCAGCACTGATGCAAATAGCACAATTGCTAATTATTTGATGCATTTTGTTGTGGTAATTTAATTCTGTTTTCGGATTTATTTAAATAATCTACACTTTTTCTAATTTATTTAAATAATCTACATTTTTTCTATTTTTAGGACCATGATCGGGAATTCAGCAAAAAAGCAATTGAAAGTTTAATTAAAAAATTAAAAGACAAACGTGATGAACTAGACGCTTTCATTATTTCTGTCTCTTCCCTTGGCCGGGTCGAAACAAAATGTATTACAACTACTCGAACACTTGACGGGCGTTTGCAGGTTTTGAATCCTCTCGAAATTTTTATTTATTTTTTAAATTTTAGGTAGCTGGACGTAAAGGTTTCCCGCATGTTGTCTATGCAAGAGCATTTCGTTGGCATGATTTGCATAAGAATGAACTTAAACACAGAAATATATGTGTTTTCGCTTTTGATTTAAAAGGCGAACAGGTTGATATTTGGACAATTTTTATATTTTCAAATTGTTATTGTTAGGTGTGCGTAAATCCTTATCACTATGAGAGAGTAATTTCTATTGAAGGAGGAACAACAGATTTACATTCACCGTCAGGGTTATTTTTTCTTTTTTATTTGAATAATTCTTTTATAGAATGACTTCATGTGGAGAGCGTTCAGGAATCTCTCCAGAATGTAAACAACTTCCATTACTCCATCGTGGACCAGGAAGACCCCCTAATGCTCTCAAACAACATTTACAACAATTAACTCCAACACAGCAATCAAATTCACAACAATCTGCTATAACATCTGTACTACGTGCACATTTAAGCCCCAACTTCCCAGCACATTTGAATACTCAACAATTAAATAAGCATCAGCAGACTAATCAAATAATTTCGACTCATGTACAACAAAAACAACAATTTATTCAACAAAAACAATTACCTATAGATCCTCAAAGTAATTAATAATTCTCGCATTCCCCGGCTTTCGAGGACAGGGATGGGGTACATCCCTAGTAGAATACCGACCAGCGCGTTTTATTTAACTTCTAAATTTATTTTTAGATGAAATTCCGTCATCGACACTACAACATTCCCAACAAAGGCTGCAAACACCTCCACACTACCCACGTTCAAATGCACCTCTTATAATGGTTAATCCTTATCAATGATTAAAAAATATTTTTTAGTCTTCCAATCCCGCATCTTTAAAAATGGCATCTCTTCCAAGCGTCTCAGCAACTTCTAATTTAATTACAAATCAACCCCAACATTGTCCTATACAGCAAAATTATCAACAACCTCTTAGTGTTGTTAATCCATTTGCTGAGTTTGGTGGTATTATTATGGAACCATTGAATTCGTCCGTTTCTAATAGTACTTGTGGTAGTCCGCGTCGAATACTACAATCAGCGTCACCACCACAAGCAACTAATTTTATACAAACACATGTTTATTTCTTTATTTTTTAAGTAAAATTTTTCTTATTTAGCAACAACATCCACTTCATTACAAACAAAACATCTCATATCCCTCTTCATTTCCACAATTTCTGGATCTTACGTCAACCGTAGAAAGCAAACCAATTGTACCAAAATATATTTATGGATTGGATAAACTTAACAATTCAAAAAATAGACCGTCAATCTCTGATAAACCATGTATCTACTTTTTTTATTTAGAAAAAATACTTGACAAAATATCTTTTTATTTAATTTTAGTTCCAATTTATTGGTGTGCTATTAGTTATTATGAATATGATCGAAAAGTTGGTGATACTTTCCAGGCAAATTCTGAGTTTTCCAAAGTTTTTATTGATGGCGGTCTGAATAGTTCTGATGGTTCTAGATTTTGTCTGGGGTCATTGACAAATACTGTTCGAACTGATGCTGCTGAAAAGTGCAGGTAAATTGGCTTATATATTTTCCTTTTACAGATTTTTTTATTTTACAGGATGAATCTGGGCCGTGGTATTTGTCTTATGTTGAAAGGGGAGGGCGATGTTTGGTTAACTGTTTTAAGGTTTTTTACCAATTCTATTTGGTACTTTTTATTTTTCTAAATTTTTAGTAAATATCCTGTATTTGTTCAAAGTCACTATTTGGACATGTTAACTGGCCGTGAAGAACCTTGTCATGCTCATAAATTTGTTCAATATACGACTGTTAAGGTTTTATATTAATTCAATATGTCAGACATGATTTTAAAGATTTTTGATCTTCAAAAATGTTATGAATGCTGGGAACATAGCAGTTTGGAAAGAAATGTTAATAGACGCTTGAGGCAGGATCAAATGATGAGAAGACAGCAACGATTAGAATTGGGTGTTCCACTTGTTGGTGAAGGAAGTAATCATCAACTTGGAGCAATTAGAACTAGTGAAAGGAGTGATGAAGAAGTTACAAATTATCCTTTAATTAAAAAAATTTTTTTTTTAATTTCAGACCACAACAGATGATCCCGGCGTTGATGATTTTCGTCTTTTGTGTACCTTAAATATTTCTTTTTTTAAAGGATTTGGACTAAGTTACCCTCGGCGAACTATTCATGTAAATTATTTTAATAAATAAATTTGTTTTGTTTTAATATTTTTAAACTCTTTTAGGAAACGCCCTGTTGGATAGAATTGCAATTACATCGGTATTTATAATTTAAACGATATTTTAAATTTTATTTTGTATATTCAGAGCTCTTCAAATTTTGGACGAAGTGTTGAATATGCACGATTCGTTTAATTAATTTTATAATCGATTGACATTCAATAATTCCATTTTTATATTTTATAAATTTTTACATTCATGTACAATAGATAAATAAATTTATTTTTGATTTACATTATTGTAAATTATTTGTACGTTTTAATTAACGTTTATTATTTTCGTTTTTCCAATGTTTATATTTTTATTATATTGGTTCATTTTCTTCAGGTAACACTAGAAAAACGAATCCATTATGACTTTTAATAAACTTGTTTTGGATGGAAAACGTGCAATTATTGGCTCATCTAAAGGTTTGTAAAGTGTATCTGAATTCCTTAAATCATTTACGTTTTGTACAAAATCTTAGATATGATCAAACATGGAATTTTATTGTTGGAACGGGCGCTTCTAATCGGTTCCGAGGATCAACAAATAATTGCGGATATCAATTATCAATTAGGTTAATAATTATTTAATAATTCTTAAATTATTCTTTATTAGGCAATGCTTATTTTTCTCTACATGATTTTGAACAAGCGAAGAATTTCTTCATTAGTGATTTGACTTTTTCCAAGTATTTTTATTTTTAAATATTTTCATTAAAATATATTTAGGCCAGGGCTCCGATCGACAAAATGCCACTCAAAAGTATCAAAATCTTGTAAAAAAAGTACATAGGGAGAAAATTTGCAAATAAAAAGTACACTCAAAATTAAATTTGAAAATATTTATTCGTGATCAATCTTTTATATTTCTCTCCTAAATTAATCTTTTCTAATAATTTCTTGTTTCAACTGAGCATTTTGTGCATTTCATTGCATGACATGTCAAAATTTGCTGTCACATGAAGCAAAGCTCTGACAGTCTTAACCTCAAGCGAGTTTCTTTCCTTCGTCCATTGAATGTTTGCCATTGAGAAGCGCCGCAGGCGAAAATTTTTTGAAATTTGGAGCCTAAGAAGCCAGATTTCTTCTTTTTCAGCGCCGCAGGCGAAAATTTTGAGAATTTTGGAGGTCCTTAAGCCAGATTTCTTCCATTTTTTGCGCCGCAGGCGAAAATTTTGAGAATTTTGGAGGTCCTTAAGCCAGATTTCTTCCATTTTTTGCGCCCAGGCGAAAATTTTGAGAATTTTGGAGGTCCTTAAGCCAGATTTCTTCCATTTTTTGCGCCGCAGGCGAAAATTTTGAGAATTTTGGAGGTCCTTAAGCCAGATTTCTTCGTTTTTTCAAAAATGTTGATAAAAAAGTACATACTTTCAAAAAAGTACAAATTCAATTTCGGAAGTACGAAGGTCGATAAAAAAGTACAATACTTTTAAAAAAGTACGAATCGGAGCCCTGATTTAGGCAATCAAAAAATGAAGAGAAAGAGGCCGAAGCATATTCTAATTTATCTGTAGCCTACGCAATGTAAATTTATGAATAAAAAGTTTAAAATTTAACAAATTATTTTAGGCTCCTTGACTTTGATAGTTCAATTTTTTGTGCTGGAAGAGCTATTATTCTAGGAGCAAGATTAAATGATGATGTTATTTTAATTTTTAAATATTTTTCTAAAACATTTTTTAAAGATTCTCAAAGGCCGTGGATATTATAATTGTGGCTTTGCCTATTTACAGGATGCATTGACTTGTTCTGAGGCTGACGACCACTTGGATGAAAATGCTCATTTATATAATCAATATATTACAGAGCAACTTCAAAAATCTATTTTTTCTTTCAAGTAATCTAAATTTTAAAAATTGATGTGGAATCATTTTACAAGTTTTTAAATTCTAATTGTTCTTTTTAAATTTAGAGAATATTTGTCAATTATGGAAAGACAGCAAGATAAAAAAATTAGTGGCCTTGCTCTTGGAAATCTTGCGAATGCTTATTTTTGCTTGTCTGAATATAATAAGTCAATTGATTGCCTTGAAAAGGTTTTTTAAGTAAAAATTTTATTTAAGAAAATTTATTTTTAAAGAGATTAGCAATAGCTCGTGAATTGGATGATAAGTCAGCTATTGGTATAACTTTGATAAACATTGCAAAAGCTTATAGTAAGCTCGGAAATCATGAGCTTGCAGAGAGGAATTTGCTGTATGTTTTTTTAAATAAAAATAAAAAATATATTAAAATTTTAAAGTGCCGCCCAAAGAATTTCAAAAGGACCTGACTTTCCCGAGGATCAAAGGCCGAAAATTGAAGTCGAATTGGAGAATGTAAATAAACCTTTAGATGAAAAAAGAACAATTGATGGTACTTACAATTAAATTTATTTTCATATAATTTTGAAAATATTTTTTATAGATTCATTATCGCTTTCAAGTAAGCGATCACCTTCTAGTAGAGCTAGCAGCCATAGGCGCAAATCAATATTCAAAAATTGGAAGAGTGTAACGAATTTAGACTCACTTGGTTCGAGGAAGGCAAAAGTTGGTTTTAGCATTTTTATTTCGTTATTTTTGTCCCCTGAAAGAGTTTGGTAGAAGAAAGATTTGTTAAAATTTTGACATTTGTTTTCCTAGCTTATTTTAATATTTTCAGAAACGTTTTTTGCAAAACAAAGTTTCAACCGACCTCGGGGACGCAGAAAATGACGGAGAATTCATGATGGAGCTGATTGAGCGGTCTAACAAGCAACTCGATGATCAACGTGTTTGCCCAGAGAAGATTACCATCCCATTGAATTTTGATGATCAGAGTTTAAACTCTGACTTTGGTAAATTATTCTTTTTTATTTCTTTATAACTTATAATTTTAGCATCATCCAGTGGTAACAGCCGACGTCTCTCATTGCCAAGACATACATTGGCTAGTATGAAGAGCGGCGCCATCAAAAGTGTGACCAATGTACCGAAATTCTTCTCCGGAAAAAATGCAAAAAGATTTTCGAAGAAAGGGAATGTTTCTGATGATGCCAGTTCGTCAAAGGGAGGTAGCTTGACTAGCCGAATTTTAAAAATGGAGGTTAAAGATGACTAATTTTATTTTCACTACTTTTGATTCTCATTATTTATTGTAAAATAAACAACTAAAATAATTTTCAACTTTCCATTGTCTCTCGAATTTTATTTTAAATACAAAGATTATTATTTGTGATTTAGAAAAAAAATTAAAAGTCATTCTGCTAGATATTTTTGCTATTTGGGAGGACTAGGAAAAAACGAGTCAGGATCCAATTTTTACTTGGGGATATTTTTCAATCTCAAAACGTTTTATTAAAAATTTAATTAGAAAAACCTCCCAAAAAGTCAAAAATAAAACAAAAATACATATAAAAGAAAATGTGGGCTCTACTGGGATTAATGAAAGACATATTATGGAGGAGTTTAAATATTAATTATCAAGTGATTAAAAAATAAAGGGTTACCCGCATACCTATATTTAAATACAATATACCTAAAAAATTACCTATTTTCTACTTTTTTTTAAAATTAAACAATCGTTATTGGAGTTTCTTTCTTTTCCCCACAAAGTTTATTGTTGTAATCATCCCTAACACGTCCAGTCCATTCAAAATAACCACTTGCATCATGAGAAGAAGGTAATAAAATATGTCGAATAAATGTTCGATTTCCAACGTCTAATCCAAGAAAGCGACGCCAATTCTCATGAAAATGTTCATTTCGGCAAGGAAAAAAGAACATATTCACTAAGCCTTTTAATGTTGGAGCATTGATCTGTGAGGAGAAAAAGATGTTAATTTTTGAAAATTTTTTGAATACTAAAGTTTAATTTAAATAAAACCCCCCAATTATAACCCCCAATTTAATTATTCATAATTAAATAAAAAAAACTTACAATAACCCCCAAATAAGTATCACCAAAACTAATCAAAACAAAATTCCAATAGAAAAACCCTCCAATCATTACAAAAACAATAAGACAAAGCAAATAAGCCGCAAAAATTATCGAAACCAAAGTTGAAGGCCCATGTCCACAAATAAATTCAAACCAAGGCAATTCTTTTGCAAGAACATCAGAATCACAAAACATTTTATTTGTTGTAAATGCCTTTTTTAAAAAAAATTTAAAAAAATATAAAATAAAAACATACTTTCCAATAATTATAATAAAAAGTATTTGAAGCAGCCAAAACAAATGTTCCACATCCCAAAGCAGTAAAACCAATAAATTGAAGAAAATAACGATGATTACATGCACCAACGCATTGATTAAGCCAAATACAATGGTGATCCATATTTAACTATTTTTTAAAAATAAATAAACATTACTCTAATAGAAAATTTTTGAAACATTCCCCCTACCCTCTAAAAAGGTAAAAAATAACCACTACAAAAATCTTGATAAGGAGAATATATCTATAACCCTTTTATCAAAAAACAAAACAAACCACACAAATTCCGCAGATCGAACAATGATGAGCATTTACAGGTTTATGATTATTACAAATAAAGCACCGAGGTAAAAGATCACTCTAAATTATTTTTAAAAAAATATTTTCATAAAATAATTTAAACAAAAAAACCTTTTTAGGACTTCCAGGTCCAACTCGGCAAGCTTTGTTAAAATGAAAAAGTAAATTCCCAGCAATATAAACAGCAAAAAAGCAAAGAGGAATCATTACCCAAAATGGCTTATAAAGACTTTCATATGGAATAACAATTGCTACAGAAACAAATAAAACAAAAGCCAAAATACAATAAACTTTAACATACAAAAACTTTAAAAGAAAAAATATTTTTTAAAAATAAATTTAAGAAAACATACACGTCCAAGAAATCGTCGCATCAAAAAATTAACAATTGGAAATATTCGATTAAAACAAATTTCCAAATTAAATTTATTTGGAGAATCTTTGCGATGACAACAACAAAATAATTTTCCAAATAAACGTCTCGGCAAATGACGCATTTTTTAAGAAAATTTTCTAAAATTAGAAAATAAAGTAATGAGGAAAAAAGCAAAATCTTGATAAAAATGGATTTGAAAGAATTGTAAAAAATAAGAGATGGTTCAGTGTCAAATATTCAGTGTTTTGGTTAGTAACATTTTTGATTTCAAAACAAGTTGAATATGTGGGTTACCGGATCTCCTAAAGATTATCGGAAACTAAATGTTTGAGTATAAAAGAGTAAAATTTTCAGGGTTAATTACTAAGGATTCACAAAATATGCAAGGAAAATTCCAAAATATGCAGCGAAAAAGGCCCAAAATATGCACTGAAATATGCAAAATCCATTTGAATTATCGCCTATTTGATTGCTAATGTACGCAAATAAAGTAGAAATTTTATGCAAAGATAAGGCCAAAATTAGGGGTAAAAATAAGAGGAAGAGGGCAGAAATGCAGTAAAAATAAGAGGAATTTTGTGGAAGATGGAAGACAACTCATCTAAGTAAATTAGAAACCCCCTAAAAATTTTCACGGTGAAAAATATTAATAAAGTACGTTAAAACTTATAATATTGCAAACAATATTCTGAAATAAATTTACTCATACAATACAACAAAATATTTCTATAGCAAATATAATATCAATAAAAGATCCTCAATATCCTCAAATATTTAAATTCTTTCCAATTAGCGCCGACGATAATTATCCCCTCCACCACCACCACCACCATTGCTATAACGAGATCCACCACCACTGCTATAAGTCGAAGATCTACCACTGCTGTATGAACGAGCCCCACCATTACCAGAGCCACCACCACGATTTGACGGCCTCCCATAACCACGCGGAGCAGCTCCACGACCACGTCCAGACATACGACGCTGCTGTGACTTGAATCGCGGCTCATCATCAATCAGTAAAACGTCCAATGGCAAAGAATCCGGCAAGATAATGGTGCGAATGTTATTCCCTAAAAATGGGAATGGGAAATATTTTGTGTGTAAAAATTACCTCGAATTGAAATAGAATCCAATTCGTACTTCTTATAAGCATTAACCGACATTTGCACACTACGCAGATGAATGTTCATTGCAGTGTCAGCCTCCACAATTGTTCCAGTAACAATAGTATTATTCTTCAGCTCAATCGTGACAGTTTCACGCGAAAGTTTCGTCACAAACCACCCAAGCTTCACCATCAGATTTTGAAAATAAAGTTAAAATAAATTTATCTAATAAAAAATAAAACAATAAATATTACACCGGTGGGGTATGATTCCGTGCACACGATTCCGTGCACACGTTTCCGTGCACACGATTCCGTGCAGGCACGTTTCCGTGCACACGATTCCGTGCACACGTTTCCGTGCCCGTTATAAAAAACACGTTTCCGTGCCCAATTTCTTTTTAATATAATAAACAATAAGAAAAGGTTTTGAGGGGTACAGTGAATATATAGGGACTTGTGCATGACATCGAGACATCAACAAGGGGATATTGGTGGATATGGAGGAAAAAATCTAAAAAAATTTTTTTTTATTTTGAAAAAATTAGAAGAACCCTGCTTCTAGCCTATGACTAACAGAATCTTCGCTGGAAAAACTGTTTTTGTGCTGCTACGGAGGGTAGGCCGGGCATGGTCTTCGCTACACGATGGCCGTGCTTCGCTGCGGTCGTGCTCGCTTCGCTCGCGGCGACCGTAGCGAAGCGGCGGCCGTCGTTCCGCTCGACATGCCCGGCTTCCTCCGCAGCGGCAAAAACTTTTTTCCGCGTAAATTTTTTGAATTGAGAAGAAAAATACTGAAGCAAAGTTGATAAGTTGATTACAAGGGGGATTAAAATACTTAAAAAATATTTAAAATTTTATAAAAATTTAAAAAAATAAAAATATTTAAATAATTGGGCACGGAAACGTGTTTTTTATAACGGACACGGAAACGTGTGCACGGAATCGTGCCCGCACGGAAACGTGCCTGCACGGAATCGTGTGCACGGAATCGTGTGCACGGAAACGTGTGCACGGAATCGTGCGCACGGAATCGTGTCTAACCGATATTACACAGATAAAGGAAAACAAAGACTTTTAGCTTTTTAAATCTCCTTTTAATAGTTAAAAATTTGACAAAATGACATTTTGGTAAAACAACAAAATTTTGAATTTAAAATTCTTTTTGTAAAAATACTTTACATCTAATTATTTAAGCTTTTTCGTTTCACCAAATCATTGTTTTGTCTAAAAGTTACGGTCTCTCAAAGCACTTGGTTGTATCCCCTTGAGTTAGCTGTTTTCCAATCTTAATAAAATTCTGTTATATGAAATTTTCTTTAAATTTACTTTTATTTTTAGACCAACTACCACAAATGCAAGTCTTCCTGTTAATTTTACTGTTATTTGAGTGTATTTATGCTTCCAAAGGAATGGACAATTTAACCAATATCACCATAAATGTTAGTTTCTTCATTCTCAATTAATTTTTATTAATTTATTTTCAACAGCAATCATTTATTAATGATTCTAAAGACAAGGGTATAATGGAATTGTTTACTCAAAATGATACAAATAAGACAGACGATGATTTATTAGACAATAATCTTGAGGAAATGAATAATGAGGATGTAGACAACTCTACTCATTCAAACTTTTCTATTACAACCTTTTTGACAACAACAGGAGATCCTGATTTAAATAAATTATCAAAGCAAACTCCAACTCTTCCAACATTTTTGGATACAAATACAACGACTGAAACAATTCCAATAAATATCTCATATTCTTCTTCATTATTATTGGAAAATTCTACTAACGTGGTTGAAGTAGAATATAATGGGTGTGATTGCCCAATGATTGATACAAACGATTTTGAAATTGGGGCAATTATTGGTGCAGTTATAGCCGGTGGAATGTTAGAAAATTAATTTTTAATTTTACTTTCTTTTTAATTTTTAGATTTTTTGTTATAATGTTGGTACGTATTTGCTTGAAAAAACGTCAGGAAGTTGGTCCAGGCATTCGTTGTTTCTTTTGCCTTTGAGAAGATATGTGTTTATGGGAAAACATATTTAAATAATTATTTTACGAGTATTATTTTTGTTTATTTGTCTGTAATATTGTGTTAATACAAAAATTAAGACCTAAATTATTTAAATGTAAAAAAAGTTAAAAGTGTACTATCCAACTTTTCTAGTTCTATCTTTTAAAAATTTAGTATCTCCAGAAATTAAAATTTATTAAAAATAAAGCAGGATACAAAAAAGAGAGGTAAATTTTGTAATTATTTTATCAGTTCTGATAAATCATTTTTAGATAGATTATTTCCAAATAAAGTTCCATTATATCAGAACAATGAAAGTTTTATTAAAAAATATTTTTAATTTCACAAACAAATAACCGCTGGTCTATTCCTTCCAATATCCAAATTTTCTAATTCTTTAAAATTTTCTTCCCTCCTTAGCCAAGGGGATTCTTGTAATATTTCAAATAATTCAATATCATTCATAACATTATAACCATCCCCTAAATAATAATGAATTAATTTTAAACAAATTTATTTATTTACATCCTCCAAAAATAGCCAAAAATTCTTTTTTTCCGTCAATACAAAAACAAGTAGCCCCACAATTTTCTTTTGGTTTTAAAAGTTTAACATTATTAATTTCTTCCAAAATATTTCCATTATTTAAATTAATTATTAAAATTTCTGAACGAAGTCCAATTCCATCAAAGCCTCCAATAATAAATCCAATTCCTTTAGAATTAATAATTTTTGGGAAAGCGACTGCATGACATTCAAGTGGATCTATTCTAAGTGAAAATATTTAAATTAAATTTATTATAGAATTATTACATGGAAGAAAATGACGAAATTTGGTTGTTTGATTTTTAATGTTATATTCAAATATCTGAAAATTAAATATTTAAAAATAATTATTTTTGACCAAAGTTTTTTTAAATAATTCAGATATAAATCTTATATTTAAACTCAAAACAATGGGAAAGCAAAGCTCAAAACCTAACAAAAAAATTCCAATTTTAACTACATCAATTATCTTAAATTTTCCCCATTTTTACATAAATTAAAGAAAAAATTTTTAAACCGTTTTTTGTGTTTTATTTCCGTCCCACCCACCAATAATCCAAATTTTTTGTTTGTCTAGAGAAGGTAAAGCAGTAGCATTTTTAAGTCCAAAAGGTAATGGAGAAAGTAAATTAACATTATGCGGCTCTATTTCCTCAATTTTTATAATTTGATTAATACATTCATTTCCATCATAACCTCCAAAAATAAATCCACCATTTCCCTAAAAAATAATTTTTAAATTTATTTTTTAATTTTAACCTCAATTTGACAAAATGCAGAACAAGAAAATCCTCTAATATTGTTGTAATCGAGTAATTTCCCATCAATTTTAAAATTTTCTGCTTCTTTGGCAAAATCCAAATTAAGCAATTCTCCACTATTTAAATGGCAACCTGGTGCTAATTTTAAAAAATAAATTTCTTAAAAATTTTAATTTTTAGCGCCGCTGGCAAAAGAAAAACGCCTTTTGACCATTCAAATCCCTTAAAAAAGAGAGAATAATCAGGGAAAATAGAGGATAGGATAACACACAATATCGTTATTAAAAAGCCTTTAACTAGCCATATATAAATTAAAATAAAAAATTTCCAAACCTGAGCACCCTCCCATCACAAATAAATGTCCACATTTAAAATTAAAAATTGATGGAGAACGTCTTGGAATATGTAAATTAAATGAATAATTAGGTGCTTCTAATTTTTGATTTAATGAAATTAATGAACAATTTGAAAGGGCGCCCTTTTCAACAGAATCTTATATTTAAACAAAAAATTTTTTTTAATATATAAAAATGAAATTTAAATACCTGAAGATCCCCCAATCAAAATTATTATTGCTGAAATATTTCTTTTTATTAGATTTAGAGGAAAAATTTTCATTAAAAACTAATTTGTTTGTTGATAAACTTTCTTGTCATTGCGTGAATTGACGAAAAGTCCGCTGTCGAAATATAATGTTAAGACGTTAATGACAAAAAGTCCGTCGACATTTTGTAATAAATTTGGGATAAAAAGTCATTTAATCTAAAATGAATGTTTGAGTATTGGTTGATAAAAAGAAATTGAATTCCATTGTTAGCGATTTTCTGATGTTTTTTTGACTGTTGACTAATAACTTGTTAATTTTAAGTTTTCAATTAAATTAAAATATTCTTTTAAAAATCTTTACTTTTTTTTTATTTTTAGATAAAATGTTTACAATTAAATCAAATTTTCGCTTCTTCATTTCAAAGGTTTTTAGCTATTTTATGATTTATTCAATACTTATTTTTCTTTAGAATTTTATTCGAACAACTCTTTTATTTGTTAATCGTTTAAGAAGATATAGCTATTATTTTACTTCTTCACAAACAACTAAAAAAATTTTGTTTGCTTCGTTTGCAGGATTTTCTTTTCAATTAAATGATATTGAAGAAGCTGAACAACAACAAAAGTTTTTTTTTATATTTTTAACATATTTTAAATTATACACACAAATTTAAACTGTTTACATCCCAAAAAACTCAAAAAAAATCTCAGAATTTTTGCAAAAATACCTAACCATATCAAAAAATTTATTCAAAAAAATATTTTTTTAAAGTTTAAATCCAAATTCCATTCAATTTAATCATCCAGAACAAAGTGAAGGTTGGGAATGTATGTATACTGATTTAACGATAAAAGTATTTCGAAAAAGGCGTGAAAGAAATGATGGAAGTCAATATTTTGAATATCAGTGTATTGGCTCTTATAAGGATATTTCTGTTGATGATTTTATTCAAGCACAGGTTTTTTTAAAATTTTTTTTAAATTGAAAAATAAAATTGAAGTATGATATTAATTATCGTCGTGAATGGGATGGAAATATTAATCGGCTTGAAGTTTTGGAAGAAGATTATTCTACTGGTTTTAAATTAATTAGATGGGAGACGAGGCTAGTTTTTCTTTTAATTTAAAAAAGTATTAAGAATATAAAATTCTAAAAAAAATTATTTTGGAAAAAATTTTTGGAATTAAAAAGGAAATTGAGAATCAGGCCCGTAACCAAGGGGAGGGGTTTTCTCACTATGCCACCACCCCCTAAAAATCCTGGTTACGGGCCTGTTGAGAATTATATAACAATTAAAAATACCTTCCTTCTTTAGATATCCATATCCATTATATCCGCGTTTATATATTTATTTACAACAAAAATTCATTGACGAAAATGCTCGGACTGTTTTAGTAACAAATAAAGCAATTGATGAAAAAGTCTATTCTTTTGATGATTCTTCTTGTGTTAGAGTAACTGATTATAATTCTAAATTATTTGTTAGAGCACATGGGGAATTGGATGAAGTAAAGGGTTTTTAATAAAAATTATTTTTAATTTTTTTAAAGAATGGATTAGATTTTATTCTTATTTATCATGATGATCCAAAAGCGCCAATTCCTAAAAAAATATATGATTTTGGTGTTAATGTTATTGGTAAAGAAAAATTTAGAGAATAAAAGAAAAAGAAATTTTTTATTTTTTAGGTCCATCATTTTTAATTTCTGTTCACTCAGCAGCATTAAAATTAGCAAAAGAAAGAATAAATAATAATAATATAATTAGAAAAACAGCACAAAGACAAAGAATATTAAGTGGAATTGAAAATAAAAATAATAATGAAGATATACAAAATAATGGAAAATTTAAAGAAAACAAACAACAGCAACAACAAACTGCTTAAAGAAATTTTAGAAAAAAGAATGTTCTTTCAAAATTAGAGATTGGAGAGAAATAAATATTTTAAATAAATACAAAATTAATTGGTTTAAGAGGTTTTTAATTTTAAACTTTTTTAAAACTAAAAACTTCAACGTGGACTCAAAAAATTATTTTAAATTAATTTTATAAAATGTTTAAAAATTTCCATCTCTAATTAAATTGTTGATTTAAAAATATTTTTATGTCAAGTTAATTAAATTTTAAGATATTTTTTTTTATTTTAAAATAGGTATTTAAATCGAAAACTTTGTATATATGAAAACTACACTTAAATATTTAGAAAATCAGATATAAATTCTCTATACTCTAATATACGGGAGGTTCTGAAGAGGGAATGAGGCGGAAGTGAGGTGTACTATGTGCTACTTTTAAAGATGAAAAAGGGAAAGAAAAAAAACTAGAAACAAAAAAATAATACATATTTGTATGGAAAAAAACGTGCCAGCAGAATCATATAATAGAAAATAGGGGGGAATGACTGTGCCACCTAGTCAGCAGTCACTGTCTGTTTTTTTGCTCCCTCAAGTTATTCTCCCCGCATTTATATATTTCCCAAAGGGCTTATTTCTTATAAAGTTGTCAGATTATACTTTTTTTTACATTTTTCTGAAAGACATTTTCTTTCGAACTCTTAACTTGAAATTCTTAGTCTTTAATGACTTACTAAAACTAATTGACTAAAAAACATTCCAAAGCTCTAAATTCTCTACAAGTCGTGATTCCACCTTACCATTTTAGTGAAATCTTGCTTTATCAATCCTTTTTACTCAATTCTCTATTTTATCCACACCCAAGTACATATAATAAAAGAGGCTTAAACATTGCTCTTTAATTTTATTTAAAAAATATTTTACTGAAGAAAAGGGCTTCTGACGAAACCGATCCTTGACGAAACTTCTGTTACATTTTTGCTTTTTGTTTAGTAGCACATTTGAGTCTCAGGAGTATTTCTTTTATTCTACAGTTTTTAAGGTATTTTTATTTAATTTTTTTAAGTAAAAGGTGCTAAAATAATGAACGTTGAAATTGACTCAATCGAATTGACCGACCCCGTCCAGCACGATAACGATTCTATGGCGAGTAATCCAAAAATTAATCATGAAATGAAAGATGGAACAAAATCCACAGATTTTGAGGAGACTGTTGACACTAATGGAATTTTACCAAAATCGAGATCTTGGATTAAATTAAATGTTGGGGGAAAGGTTTTCTTTTAAAAATATTTATTTAAATATTTTATTTATTTTCAAAGTTATTTATGACGACAATACAGACATTGTGTCGTGAAAGTGGTTCTTTCCTCGCTCGTCTCTCACAAGAAGATCGTTCATTGCCAAGTGAGAAGGATGAATCTGGATTTTATTTAATTGACCGTGATTCTGATTATTTCTCTTCGGTGCTAAATTATCTTCGTCATGGAAAAGTTATTCTTGATCATGGACTTTCAGAAGAAGGTATTTGATTATTTATCGATTTTCTCTAAATCTCCGATACGAAATCCGGATTTTTTTCTTAGCCCGGCCCATCCCTGTTTGACCCTCATAACTCCCAAAAACTTTATTTTCTAATTAAAAGGTCTTCGTGAAGAGGCTGAATTTTACAACTTGCCAAAATTAATAGCTCTCTGCAAGGAACGAATTGCTGACCGTGAAAGACAACGGAAATCATTAGTTAGATTAAAATTTAATTTGTTTAAAAATTTAATTCAATTTTAGACAAAACATGTTTATCGCGTCTTACAGGTTTTTTTAAATTTTTTAAATGTTTTCAACCTAATTTTACTTTGTGTCTGATCCAAATTTTGGGTTATTTAATGTTAGTAAGAAACAAAATCGAAATTAAGAAATAAAATAACTGGTAAATGTGGAGATTACTGGTCCCGAAAAAAATGAGGAAGAACTGCTTTTTTGATATTTTTGAGGTTTGCCAGTAGGTAATCGAGTGTGCTGAGTCCGAATCTGAGCTTAGAATTTGCTTATTTCGAACCCCGGACCCGAATTCGACAAAGTCGAATTCGGGATAAAAATTCGAAATTTCAAATTTTTGTTTAATCGGACTCGTCTCTTCGAGCTGAGTCGATTGGTATCAAAATTAACGCGTTTCGACCATTTTAAACGAAGTTATGATCAATTAAATAACGTTGGGTTCGACTTCCGTATACAAATTAGACACCATAACTTCGTTTAAAATGGTCGAAACGCGTTAATTTTGATACCAATCGACTCAGCTCGAAGAGACGAGTCCGATTAAACAAAAATTTGAAATTTCGAATTTTTATCCCGAATTCGACTTTGTCGAATTCGGGTCCGGGGTTCGAAATAAGCAAATTCTAAGCTCAGATTCGGACTCAGCACACTCGATTACCTACTGGCAAACTTCAAAAATATCAAAAAAGCAGTTCTTCCTCATTTTTTTCGGGACCAGTAATCTCCACATTTACCAAATAACTGGTTTAAATTAGATTTCCTCAAGGTTTTTTGTTTTTCTTAAATAGAACTTTCAATAAATAACTTAAGAATTGTTGTGGATATCTTTTTTCAAATTAATTTAAGAACATTTTTTAGTGTCATGAAGACGAATTGACTAATGTAATCTCAGCAATGTCTGATGGTTGGAAATTTGAACAGGTTTTTGAATTAAATTCAAAATTATTTCAAAACTTTTTCCCCTTTTTTAGCTTGTTCCAATCGGCCAATCATCACATCCAAGTGAATCTGGCCAACCAGAATATTTGTGTGTTGTTTCTCGAGAATATCCAGTTTCAGCTAATGATGGACAAAATAATGAGGCTGTGTCTGATCGAGCACAATTTTTGCAAATGAAAGCAATGAACGGTTAAAATAAATAATTGAATTTTGGACTTTTAAACGTAAAGAAATTTTTTAAACAAGCTTTATATATTTAATTGAAAAAGAATACTTTAAAAAACAATTTTTTGGAGATTTTTTAAATATTGGAATTAGCCGTATTTGAAATAATTTACTTAAATTATACAAGTGGGACAATGTCATTATTATCCACAGTTAACAACATTTATTCTTAAAATATAGAATTACATAAAATATCAGACGGTGACGTATCTATTTTTCGGGGGACCTTAGTAGATACACATATGGTGATCTAAACACTTCGTATCATTTAAACAAACTTTTCCAAACCTCCAAAACTATCTTTTTATAAAGTATTCTTTTAAATACCCAAAAATATTTGCATTTTAAAAATCCCACCATTTCCATCCAATATTTCCCCAAAATTTTTTCTTTACATATATTTTCATCCTCTATTTTTATTAAAAAATACCTACATAAATAGCCATTTAAAAATAAACGTGGCTTTAAAATGCCTACAATTAAATTTTATTTAAACCAAAAAATTAAAATAAATTTTATCAAGAGCACAGAGTCAAAAATGAAACATTTAAAATTTGTAAAGAAATAAACAAAGTGAAAAATGGATTTATATTTTAAGAGTGATAAATTTGGTTTAATTATTAAGTAGAATTGAGGGGAGAAAAAAAGAGATTTTAAATTATTAGGTTTTTGTAAAAGAAAATATGTGAGCCCCTAAAAGAAAGGCCTAAACAATTCACAAAAAAGAATTTAGATTTCCCAATATTATTATAATATACCAATGTTTTAAAAAAAATTATCAAAGAAATGCAATAATTATTGTGCTTATTTTTAGAGTTTAAATTTCTCCTTTAAATTAAATTTCTACTTTTTGTCTAGCTTGTTTTAAGGAGTTTAGAAAAAAAGAGATCAAAGCGTTTTGTAGAGCAACCAAAATCTCTTCTAATCATTTTCAGAAGAATTTATACAAGAAGAGGATGAATTTGTAGTTGCCATTATAAAAAGCGCTTTTTGATGAGCAGCTCTCTTTGTTGTTGTTGTTTTGGATGAATTTGTTGATGCTTCCTTTGAAGTTGAATTATCTTGAGGTTGATTAATTAATTCATGAATACAGTCAACACAAGAATTAATTAATTTTGAACGATCTCGCATTAAACCAATTGTTGTTTTACTAATTTCATGTGTTTGGTTTATTTGTCTCTTAAATTAAAATAAAAAATTATTTTCTATATTTGAGTGTAAAGAAGACAAAAAAAGTAGGGATTCAAATAGCGCTTGCTAAAAAAGGGAAAGTGGCCTGGCAGGGATTAAATTCACATTTTAAAAATAACCTTAAGGAACGTATCTTGTTGTT